ATTAAGATAAAGGCTGAGAGCAAAAATATTATGCCAATCTGTTAAGAAAATGTTTTTTATAACTCATACAAAGATTAGCTTTTTTATGTATGAAAAAAGTCGTTTCACTATAATTTTAATTTTTCTTTAATTATTAATCTTTCTTTAATCTTAATTATTATTTTATTTAGTAGAAAGTGCAAGTGTTGAATTGATAGAATATATAGTTATTTAATGGGCTTAGTTCTTAAAACAAATATATGAAATAATATATAACAAATATTCAACGAAAATTAACGGAAAATAAAAAAATATATCCGTGTACCTCTATTGTCAATCGCGCAGAGAAACGTAAAAAGATTTATGAAACTTGGTTTCTTGCCAATTTCGCGGCGCACATAGACATAGCGACATAAGCACGTTCATTCAGTTTTTAAATAACCATTCTATATGTATTTAGCTAACAAAAGAAAAGAACACCCAAAATTCAATTAAATAAAGATCTAAATAGTAGAACAAATCACATGAGGAAAGTGCAAGCAAAGCAGGAAGAAAATATTCAATTGGTCGTTGAATAAATTTATATAATTAATTGACATTTCGACAAATTATGCCAAATATATGCATATATATGGATAATATTGTGCAACTATTGCAAATTTGCTGATCATTAGTGTAAAATGTGCAAACCCCAAAAACGATATAAAAGAACGCAGCGTGAGACAGTCGCAAGGAATTTGCAACGTCAAATGAAGTGAATATCAACGAACGACCTTCAACATGAAATGCGACGTAAAATAAATTTATCTCAATTATATATATATAAAGCGAGTGTGTATCTGTGTGTGTGTGGTGCTGCTTTTCATTTTGCACTCATTTGCGCTGTTCGCTGGGAGTAACTCAGAGACAAGATGTGAAAAATTGTTGTGTGTTTATATATATATTTATATTTATATATGTGTGTGTGCGTGGCTGTATGTTTGTTTTACATTCACCTTGGCAGCACACAAAAATTAATAGAAAAATAAATTTTTTTCATATTCTTGCGGCAAAAGCGTAAAAAAGAATGAAATATCTATCCACATACAGTAAATACTCGCTAAATGAAAATTCAAGGTTTTCAATCTGTTAATATTCGAATTAATTCTATGCAGCATTCAATGAATGTCATTTGTTTTATTGAGCTTACTGTTCATATTTATAAATTAAATTAAAAGTTTTTAAGAAAGTTGCTGACAATGGCTAAAAGGTCTTTAAACCATTATTGAAAATGTGCATAGGATGTGAGGCACAAGAAATTGATGAAGAGAATAGTTGATAATTGGTATCCTGTGACCTCAAATGCGGTACGAAGCCAAGTCGTTCAAGCATGTATGATGGAAAACTTGTCTGATGTGGTTGAAAATGTGGGTCTAACGTGATTGAATAACTTTTGGGATGAGACTCTTAATGATGGAGCCAACGTAAAAATTTAAATTGAAACAATTTAATTTTTGGCATTTAATATAAATATACAGAAAACATTTAAATATATGCTAACGTTTAAATTGATATTTAAACATAATTTTTACTACTAATTTGAGTTGTTTTATTAGCAATTTAAAGTTTGGATTTCCTATTTAGATAATTTTACTGTGGCCCGAATATCTCTTAGCTAAATATACCAATATTTGTGCGCAATACATGACGCCAACACGAGGCGTTGGCCAGTATTTTTATGCATTTTTTGTCGGCTGGCGTCTGTGTGTTTTTAAATGTTTAAACAAAAAATGTTGCAATTTGTTTGGGTTGGCGCTGATAAAGCAATTGAATATATAAATTCTGTATTTAGCAGACTGAACCAACGCTTCGTTAAGTAAATAAAGTAAATTTCAAGTGTTGGCAGAGCTTTTAAATCATTTATGATCGCATGTTAAAAAATAGCAAATTTTATTTCAAATATTTCATTTACGATATTTTTTTTGCAATTTCTGCGCGGTTTGCCAATTTCCGTGCTGAAAGTTTTTTTCCATTTCCGTTTTGTTTTTGTTTATTTTTTATAGGGACCTAATTTAAGGCAAGTTTCGAAGAGTTCGCTGAGATTATTTGACAAACGGACAGTGTCCCAAATCGGAAATTGAGAAATCAGCTTTCGCACCATTAGCACATAATTCAGCTGTGACAACAGCCTACAGACTGAGTGTCTCACACACAAAGGTGACAAATAAAAACTTTGCAATTTGCCAACCCATACGCACACATGCGGTGGAAAGGTTTCAGGTTCCTCATACCTGTAGCAAAAGTATTTCCGTTTGTTGTTATTTGCCAATTTGAGAAAACAGCCTGGGAAATCGAGCCGCCGCAGCGCAAACCCTTTTTTCCCTCTAGCCTGTCTTGTGGGCGTGACGCTGCCCGACAGTAAATCACGACACCCGTGTGCGGTCACACCCCCTCCCAAAAAGAGAGAATAAAAATAACACAAAAGCAAATGCAAACACACATACCACAGTCAAAATACCGCGTGTCAGCTAGGGCTTAGGGCGTATTAAGTAATAGAACTTGGATATTGATTTCGTGTGAGCAATATGATTAGAATATGTATCAATTATAATTATTATATTTTCAATTATTGAGCTTTATTTGATTGATTAAAGTGAAAGAAAAACAGCAGGGGAAATGCTGTAAAAAACTTTTAAGCTTTAAGTACTTTAAGTATTTATATATTTATATATTTTTATATTATATATTTATATATTTATTTATATATTTATATATTTATATATTTATATATTTATATATTTATATATTTATATATTTATATATTTATATATTTATATATTTATATATTTATATATTATATAGTTATACAATGCGATTTTCTTGCAGCAATGACGACTGCTCTTATTGTTGATTTACTCTTTCAGTGGCAACTAAATTTGTTAGGGTATTTATTAGTCGAGAGCTGTCGATTACCAAGCTCATACTTGTGTGATTTTAACCCGTTGCCCCTTTCATTTTTTAAATTGCTTCGCGCTTACCATTTTTCAAGCTACACGCTTTTGCCTTTTATTTTGTCTGACTTCTTTCTCACAATGTGTCTGTCGCTCTCTCTCTCTCTCTCACTCTCTCTTCCCGTTTTCTGTTCTGCCGCTCATCCAACTACTTGACACTTCCGTTTCCGTTTGAGTCGTCCTGACATTGTCTTGGGTTTCTAAGCCAGTGTGAGTTTTCAAAGCAAAGCCACTGTAGTTACACTTACGCATACTCAAGCTCATATCCCTTCGCACTGTTCCCTCCTTGAATTTACGTTTGACGTTTATCCTTCAGCGCCTTTCGTTGCCAGCGCCCAAACTTTAATATGAATGGCAAAAATGAGTGCAAAAAGCGAAAAGAATACCATTTGCTTTCAGTGTTTTATGCGTGAAATTTATTGTTTCTGACAATGAAAATGGCGGCGCAAACGTTTCCTGATCAGAGCTCGTCTTATCTGTAGACCCTTTTCCTCTTCTCGTTTTTTTGTCCGCCTGCTCCATGGTCGTTTTTTATTGAAATTCATGTATTTTTAAAAGCCTTGGCCATTTGGTAGCTGAGCCGCATTGGCTGTAAATCGTTTAAGCATTTGTTCTGTATTTTGTCTTCTATTTTGTTTTCCTTTGTTTTTTTTTTGTCAGAATTATTTCGCTTGATTTTTACAGATATTTCACTGTTGTTTGGTTTCGGCTTTTATCGGAGAATAAAAGTTAATGCTTTGCATCATGGCGCACAAATGTTTATTGTATCGTAGACCTATATTAAAGCGTAGTTAGGAGGCGATAACGAAATTGCCAATGGACCCGAAATGGAACAGCTGCTAATCTATAGATTCGCCTTGATTTGATTTGTCTATTTGCCGTTTGCTGTCTTGTTAGCTTTATATTATGGGTTGCAATGGGTTAAGAATTGCCTATAGGAAACTTTAGTTATTCGTTTCAACTTTACGAAAAGATACCAAATATGGCTAGAAAGTGTGCAATTTGTACTTTTCAATAATGTATTTGCAGTCTGCCTTTTCTATTTTAAGCACGACATTTTTTGTATTAAAAAACTTAAAATTTGTTATCATATTTTTGATGGATTGTCGTTTTTATCAAGAGAATTAGTGAACAGTGTAGTGACCTTGACGATTAGTCGGGGGTGTCCCCCCGACAAACAAAGGAGTCAATGTTATAAGCTAACTATTGTGAGTAAAATAATTTCATTTGATGTTTCTGTATGGCTCAAATGTAATAAGTTAAAGTATTTGTGGCATATGAGTTTTTGACTGTTGTCAGCGAAGCGCAAAAGTCGACATTTTCATTACCAATTGAAGTCAAATTAATAATTGGAATTTCCTACAGCCCCGCCTCAGTTTTTAGCGCTTATCGTTTATGCCTGTAATCAGTCAATCAAACATTTTATGTTAGACACAACTAAGAATCACCAGCACATGAAATTGTGAGATTGAATTCAATTTAAATCTCTAAAAACCACATAGAATATATTCTTCACTTTGATAGAATTTCGTATCTGAATTGAAAATGTTTATTTGAGTTATGTGTGTTGTTGACTGACCTTGATCTTAACTCATCGCAGACAACAAGCAGTCAGAAGTTTTAAATAGAAAGCACATAATATTGAACACACCCAGTCCCAACAGATATAATCTACATTGCAGATTCTATAAAGTAATGTCCGCAATAAACTATTCGAAACGTGTTGTAAAAGCTTTTTAATGCCCAATTTACAGCTGTTATCAGAGTCATATTACTAGCCGGCATATCAGTAGATAGGTACACACGGGTACATCTATATATACGTATATTATTAGATATTTTTAAGGTGAAACGGCAATTCTTATCTTATCATTTATCACTTGTCACTGATATACAATACATATTCGCAGCGTTCTTGTCGCTTTAATATCTCGTTTTCACTATGTCAGTTAAATATATATACATATATATATCTGTATATATATTTTTTTTAATTAGTTGGTAACTAACATATTTAGTTTAATGACTTACCGCCTTCCGGCTCTGAGTCATCTATGTAGATCATTTTGCTCTGACTGCGTCCCTTGGCGCTGGGTTCACGTAGACGAGTGCCCGTTTTGTCGGCTTATACTTTACAATATATTTCTATAGGTAGATATATAAATGAAAATATTTATTTTCTACTTAAGAGCGTTTTTTATTTGCACACACTTCTAAGCTTTTTGCTGGTATCTATAATATTTCGTACAAATTTCTTTTTATAACACAAAACATTTCGTTTTTGCGTTGTGGCAAAAATAAATGATTTTTTCTCTTGACAGAACTTCACTTCACAGCAAGATATTTTGTTGTTGTGTGTTGTATTTTGATATATTTATTTTTTTTATATTTGTTTCTTTTATTTGTTGTTCTGCTACGCACTTAAAAAATGACACGAATATTTTGATATTTTATATTTATCCCTGACTTGTTGATCGATACACGTTGCGTATGCGTAATATTATCACAATAATTGTAGCTAACTTTTTGGGTTATTTCTTTGAAATGGTTAGGGGTTGTGGTTGGGGCTGAGGCTGCCTTTTGATTGCGTGCTATTGTGTCATCGTCATCGCGAGCGAGCGTTTAGCATCAAACTGTTTTTGGCCTGCGCCACGTTATTTGATTTGGGGCTTCGCGTTGCCAATAATTTTCTGTTCTTTTGTTGCTTTTAGCTTTTTGCTTTTAGCTTTTTGCTTTTTGCCTATGTGTGCTGCGCTCTTAGGCGCTCAATTATAATTGTGTTTTGGCTGATAGCTGCCAACCAGGCTGGCAGAAGGGGCACGCTACGCGAAGGGGCCGGCACGACTTGTCGCCGATCGACTCTACTCCGACTCGAGTCCCCGAGTCTCTCAGGCTAGCCCAGTGCCAGTGCCAGTACTCGCGAGCGTTTTCTATTTATAAATAAATCACAGAATAAAAAAAAAGAAAAAGGGAAAGATACAAATACACTAGTTGCTGCCGCTCTAGCAAGAGCTGACTCTATCTCTAGTTGTATCTGTATCTGTATCTTTGCCAGTTTAGTTATAAAAATAAATTGCAAAACGATTTGTTTGCTGCTCTCTCGCTCTGTGCGGCTTCTATGTGGTTAGCGAATGAAAATCATTTTCCCTGCTGTCGCTTAGCACATTTTAATAGTGTGTAAACTTTTTTCTATATCGCTTTTTTCTTTGCCAACTTTTTGCCCACCTACTTGCCGTCTAGTTATGTCTTTATATATATATTTATATATTTTCACGAATATTGCCGGGTATTTGGCTTCCTATTGCCCCGCCTGACGCCGCTTATCTGTCTGCTGCATGCGCGTTTTTTTTCGACTCGCAACTTGTTGCGATAGTCAGCTGCATTTTCACCCTGGGCAGGTGGCACGTTTTTTCTTTTTTCTTGTTCTATCTGTTAGTAGGTTTTATTATATCATTGACCTTCGCTAAGGTTTGGCTTATCAACCATAAATTTTGCTATTTGTTTCTTAACAGAGGCTAAGCTTTAGCTGTAAATTGAAAGTGTCAAATGGGATTTTGCGATTCAGTATTTGGTATTTAAGACCCTGAGTTGTAATTTAATACTCTTCTGACACTAAATATATTATTAGGTAATTCATGTATTTACCTACGTTTTTATACTAGTTACATAAATCTTGTAATTAGTTAACTTTTGCAGTTTATTTAAATGTCACGAGATTAGTCAACTATGCTAAACACTCACGCTATAGATAACAAGTTTAACTAGAACTCAAAATGCACATTGAGATAAAGCTTTTAACTACTAGATTCCGCACATTCTTCATTTCGTTTGGGTTTAAGGTCTAATGCTTTAGTATTTGTGGACCAAGTGTGAATTATAAATATTTGCCATGCTTTTGTGACTTCAAGAGTTCCATTATCTGGGCTGTATTAAATTAAATTACGCTTTTCTATATTTATATGGGTTAACATCATGGCCGATAAGAGCAAACACACACACGCTCTACACAATGCCTGTAGGCTTGACTATCTTATCAGACGGAAGAATGCTTAATTGCCGGACAAGCGGTCAATAAATGCGTCATCCTAACAGTGCAGACAAAGAGAGAGAAAGATAATGAGAGAAAGGGGTGGAAAAGGAGAAACTGAGTTAGACTGGGAGTCAGGTGGAATAAGATTTCGTAACTGTAGATGGGCTGCATTTTAGCCTGGTCTGCTCTAATTGGACCGCTTCATTGCAGGCGTCCAACTTAAATTGCTTTAAAACGTAAACAACAATACGAACTAAGCCGACAGAGCAGAACCTAGTCAACCGCTCGCCCGAAGCCGGGCCAATACAAAAAGAGAGAGATAGAGAGACAGAGAGAGAGTCGAAATAAAAAAACGTTGCGTATACGCCATGTGGTCGGGATACAGCCCCGAGTGGACAGCAAAAGCAAATAAACACAACGCTGTCTGCGAACGTGTTTCGACGCGTTTGCGGCTGTAAACAGGACTCCACAGGGCAGGGCTTTAAAGCAACTGCAGGAAGTGAGAAGAGATGAGAAGAGGGCACAGGACAAGAGACGAGGGGCGAAGGGCGGTTGGCGTAACACTAAGCCACGTTTTGATTTGCAAAAGGACCGGCAAATGCAAGAGGCTTTGATGCACTCTAGAAAGTGGCTTGGTCTACGGCAAACGTTTTAGTCCAGCTCGAGCTTTGTTTTACATAATGCAAATCCCTTAAATGCGCTAAACGGAGCGACTGCAGCTCGTCCTTCATATAGAATTTTCCCTTTTTTTTGGCTGTCTTTCACTTGAAAATCGAAAATCGCGCACACGGCACGTTTTTGTTTTCCTGTTTTGCAATATTTGTTGTTGCTGGGTTTTGCTTCCGGCTGTGTAGCTAGGCGTTGTCCAAATGCATTTCGTGATCAAAAAAACAACTTTTTGTTTGTTATTTAGTGTGCACGAAATCATTTAGCGAGCGCAAGCGCCTTGCATTTCCAATTGTTTTGTTTGTTATTTACTTTTATACTTTTCAGCTGCTTCTTTTTCCTTTCTTTTCCGTTTTTCTTTTGTTTGGTTGTTTTCATTTATTTTCTAAAAATGTGTACATATCAATGCTGCACACTTTTTTGCACATATTTTGATAGCATTTTTACACGGATTTTCGTTGTCGCTGCACTCCGCACGGCTGCTCATTGCACGTTGAACTGCTCGGAAAATATTTAGTTTTTCACAATTTCAATCAAGTTTTCAGGAGAAATTTTTTGTATGTGTATTTCGGGCTGCCAACGCCTCGTGGCGCTATTTTCGTATTGTTCGTGCACAATTTTCGAAACAATTTTCGTGTCTGTTGTCCGTGCGTTTTTTGTATTTCGATGACCTGTGAGAGCAAATGTAGAGGCTCGATTGAAATACTATTTATCAGTAACTGTTTAGAAATACACGTGTAAAGTTATATAGTTTACTATTCATGAACAGGGTAACTAAAAGTCGAGTTCTTTCTACTGTTTTGCTATCACAAAGTTATATAGTTTACTATTCATGAACAGGGTAACTAAAAGTCGAGTTCTTTCTACTGTTTTGCTATACACCTTATAAGTCTATATCATATCTAAATCATCTTCATCAACTACCTATCACAGGGTATTCATTTGTCGATCAACTGCCACAATTTTCATTCTCACTTGTTTTGTAATTTTGATGCGGCACTACGGACTGCAGACTGCGTGCTGTTGGCGCAACATAAAGCCAATGTGTTTACCGCGCCAAACTTCTTTGGAGCTAATTTTAAACCGAATCTCTGGGCATTGCATGCAACACAGCAATGGACCATTAGCCCCAATTGTGTGTGGGCGTGGGCTCCAGAGGCCTGCTAGCATGTTGCTGTACGTGCAACGAAGCAGGAAAGCCAATGTATGCCACACAGTTTATCCGGTCTAATATTTTTTGAAAACTTTTACGGCTCTACAGGTAGTCGTTCATTTCTATTATTTTTATTATTAAAGTTTGCAAGTTAATGAAACATATTTGAACATATTTGCAGTATATATAAAATTTTATTGCCCATAATAAAAAGTCTAGCATTTTTATGAACATCTGTTGATTTCTAGAGACAGCACTGCGGATCAGAAGACTCTAAAAAAAAGGTTAATTATTATGAAATTTTTCAAAATTTATTTGCTTATAAAATAAAACCAATACTAATTTGTCAGAAAATAGTTTTCAAATTTCTTTTACAAATTTGCTTTTCACAAAAAAAACGTCTGCGCCCAACGTGGGGCTCGAACCCACGACCCTGAGATTAAGAGTCTCATGCTCTACCGACTGAGCTAGCCGGGCTAGTTGGGTGCCATACGCAACTAAATAATATTATATTATATAAATGGACGTATATGGTTTATAATATCTTTAATTGTATTTGTGTATTTAATTATTGTAATTATTGTCTCTTCCTTAGTCTCCATATCTGCCTCCTCTGCAATTATCTCTCAGCGACCTTGCTTAGATATACGCACACTCAAAATGGCATACATATTACACACACGCCAAGAGTCTACTATTAGTTGGACTCTTTCTCTAACCACATGGCGTCGTCTATGCTGGCCATCTATCCTAATTCATTCTGTTCGCCTTTCATCTCAGCGTGCGCTTTTCGAGTTGTTGTCTTAGCCGCAATTATTTTTTCTGGGTCATTAATGGGAAATATGCAAAGTATGCAGACAAATGGCAATATAAATTATTTAATTTCCACAAACATATTTTCGCCTGAATCTTATGCTATGTGGAAATATATATATCTTATATACATATTTCATTCGTTGTTCTCTAAGGTCGTCACCGAGTCGTTGACTGCAGCTGTGCTCGACTTTTGTTGTTGTTGTTGTGCTTGGCGCCGCATTTTACGACAGTTCACGCACATAAGAAGCTATATAATTATATATATATTCTTATATATATATAGATCTATATATGTATGTGTGTGTGTGTCTGTGATGTCGCTGGCTGCTTGCTTTATTATTAAAATTAGTGGCATTTGGCCTTTTGCAGCGCGTTGACAGCCAGAAATCAATGTTAACGTGGCCCGAAGCGCTACAAATTTATGAGCCTCGCCGGCCTTGTCGCTTGAACTTGTGTCAAAGTGGCACAATGACAAAGATACGCAATCACAGTCGCCAGTAAATGCAGCAGCAGCTTGTAGCTGCGGCCAGCAACAGTGTATGTCAAAGTGACCTACTAGGAGCTTTTACTTGATACCCTGTACAGAAGCTCAGCAGGAATGGCATATACGATGTGGCCAGCCAATTAAATGTAAATGCGCAACTAAGGCTATGGATATACGAGTTTATGAGATTTTAATTAGAGCATTCTGTGGAGTAGGTTTTGTCTCTTGAGTACGACTTCGTTGATTATAAAAGGTTTTTATTTTATTTTATTTTCTTTAATTATATTTTTCAGAGGAATTACTAAAAAATAATGTAAATAACATTAATGGATGAAGGTAAACTGTAAATAGACAAAAATAGATTTATTTATTACGATTTAGGTTAAGATTAATGTTGGACTTATTCAAATATATGTTGACTGTTTCATTGTTGTATATTTGACATAAGCTACAATTGAGTTGTGGGTGAATACGTATTATTAGAAGTGTTCCGTTATTAAACATATCAGGTCACAGCTCAATTAGTGCCATCTTTTATAGTTTGCCACATGTTAGGTAAAACAAATAAATATGAATAAAAACAAAACAAATCAAAATCTGCTTAGCTCACATTTATTTATTTAAACATTTCCTGCTATATGTGCGTGATGGACAACTTGGTTTGCATCATGCCTCTCTAGTATTTATTGCCAGCTTGATTCGTTGCTGCTGATGTAGATGTTGTTGTTAATGTAGAAGCGATGTGGTTTTTTTTACGTGGCCTACTTCCGGCGGCTCTTGTTTACGTCTAATTGGGCTGGCTACGTAAACAAATGTTCAGGTAAGTATTTATAGGTGTTCTGGGTGTATTGAATTGGATTGGTTCTGTGGCTGCGTCAACAGCTAAGGAATTTCGCTTGATTTGCGCTGCAGATAAATAAGTTTAATTGACATTTATGCCAAGCAGCTGACTGCTCGTTTATCATGCAAATAAATAAAAATATGACAGAACAAACATAGATTTTAATAAAATGTATTTAAAATTGAAAATATTGCCTGACGGATGGACGGACGGTTTGTGTATTTTGTGGTTCTTGGGCATTTCTGATCTCAGTCGAAGAACTTTCGTGGCTAACCGCAAAAACAATTTAATTTGATTGCCTTTTAAGTCCTTGGAGTATTATTCGGCTGTGGGGAAGCGTCGTCCTTACGCCTGCTCTAATCCTTTTCGCAAAAGTTTCGTGTCTTGGCACGTATTTCCGGCACGCCCACACCTGAGAACTCAGTTGCTGCTGCTTCTGCTGCTGTCATGAATTGCAGAAAATTTATTTTACCACAAGGACTAGCTGCTGCGGATGCTGTGTGGCCAACACGGATTTATGCACAAAGCAAACAAGTTTGTTTATGTATTTCGATAAAACTTAAAGCCAAGCATTTCGTTTATTGATAAATTTAAACATTCCTCCAAGCCGAAAGGTCACAGCGATGAATCGGCATGCCAGAGTGTTTCACACACGCGCACATCTTTTGTGCACAAAGGCGAACAAAATAAATATTTATGAATTGCGCAAATGCCAACGCAAATGGCCAGTTCAAGTTGATGACGTTACCTCCGGACACCCACACACAAAACGCACAGACACACTCACGCATAGCGGCAGAGAGCGAGCGAAAAAGCATAGCAAATAAATTTAACCACTGCGCTCAAAAGTATGCAATGCAATATGTGCAGCATCAAATGACTCAAGCCTTGACAAAAGTGTTGCATACTTTTAGCTGCAAACTGAAATTACTTTTCATCTACGAAAACTGTTCCATGCTGCGCTTATCAATTTTGTAAATGTCAAAGCAGCTAAATAAATAGATAAAGCCAAATGCAGTAGACACGATTGTATGGATTTAAATATTTATTGCACATTTCTCAACCAGACACACAGAGCGAGAGTTAAAGGTCTAAATGAAATTTAGCAATACACACAATAAATTGCTGAGCTGCGGTATATCACTCACTTGGGCTTGTTGATGCATCTTAAGTGAATTCTTGTAGATAGCCGAATTTAATTAAGTTTATTGGATTGACTTAAAAGCTTATTTGTAAATCAATCGTAATTGAACGAAATAATCAGTTGATAGAAGTTAAAAACTCATAGCATACTTTTGTGCGATACACAAAAACTTCAAGCAACAGGACACGCGTGAAGTTCGTTTAGGTGACGACCGAATATTAAGCAAAACATAAAGAAATCTCCGTAGCTAAAAGAGTAATTTCGGTTGCCATTCTCCTTGAGGATGTGACTCCTTTACAACGCTGCACCCAGCTAAATCAGTGTCCACAATTAAGCGCGTGCTTGCGCAATATAATGCTGCATAAGCCAAAAAAATATTAAAAAACTATATGAAAAGAAATTTATGGTATATATATATATATATATATGAAAAGAAATTTATGGGAAATGTGGCGCAGCAGCCATAAATTGATAGCCAGGCAAACAAAAGAGGTTAGGGAGCTCAGATGCTCTGCTCAGGTGGCAGCAGAATCTCATCAAAAACGCAAAAACCAAGAAAAATATTGAATGCAATTTTATGTGCCGCACGCACATGCAGCAGCATGTGGAGCAGCATGCAGCAACAAGCTGCAACCGCATAAGGTTTCTTTTTTGAGCAACTACCGCATAGAACATGAGACTGAACGAAATTGATCATTGTATGTGCGTTTTTGTGTGTGTGTGTGTGTGTGTGTGTGTGTGTGTGTGTGTGTGTGTGTGTGTGTATGTGTGTGCAACTATGCTACTTAGCGTCTGTTTGCATAAGAGAGCGACTGCTTATAAGTTGGCTGTCACACACACACACACACACGCTCGCCGAAAACGAAATCGTATTTCCTGCTGCAGACAATGAGGCACAGCGTCAGGTGCAACCGCTTGCTGCACATTGTCATTGCAAAGCTATTGCTGCTGCGCTAGCCAGTGCCACGCCTACCGCTCCTCTAGCTGCGGTGCTTGTCAATTCATTGTCCGCTGATGTTCGCAGTTCTGTGCAAAAAGACACACGTAGTCATGGCTATACGAGCTACTGCTAGCTAACAGCTTGTCCTTTGCCAATCCGACAACCTGGGCACTACGGCCACCTTGCCACCTTGCCACCTGGCCACCTGGTGTTCCACCTGTCTACTCGTGTGTGCGTTTAAATGAGTTTACGTGCTGTTATGTGTGCGTTGCCATGCACCCTCAGCAGATCCTGTTGCCAGCCAGCTCCTCTGCTATTTGTTTGTTTGTTTGACTTTAGCTCTCTGCATCAGCTGCAGGATGAGTTGCGCTGTCCTTGCCTCAATTGTTGTCTGTTGTCTGGTTGGTTGCCTGCTCGCTCGCTGCCTGTGCTGTGTGTTGTGTGCTGTATGCTGCTTGCCGCTCTCATCAAAATCCAGTTTAAGATTTTTGATTTAATTTTGTTTGCTTGTCGGTTTCCTGATGCACGTACCATGCGCTTGAGATTCGCCCTCGGCATTTGGCATCGTTCTGCGCAGTTGTGGCCCAAAACGAATTTCTGTGAAACAGCCAAAAGGCTGCTTTTGACACACCCCCATCCCACACACACACACACACACACATACTTATCAAGTAGTAAATATGAAATGCTAATTTTAGATGTTTGAGAGCTTTCTTTGAAAATGCCATCACACGCTGCTTAACTTCGGTATCTGCATAGGTAAATATTGCTTAACCGATTTGATGACCACAACTGTGATTAGTAAATAACTTAGAAAAGACTTTTTGAACGGATAAATTAAATGTTCAGTGGAAAATGATGACAAGTTCCCTTCAGCTTCTGTTACTCAATGGCCATATATAAATGTAAAAACAGAAAAGAAAGTCCTTCATTTAAGCCCTTTCGCTTCTCTTTGCCAGGGTCCATAAAAGACAAAGCAAAGCACACGCAAAATGTTTACACTTCGTCGTTGCTTGTTTCAAATCAAATTAAACACGCTGCATTTGACAGCAGAAATAAGTGTGGAAGAAAAAAAAAAAAAACATGAACAGCGATAAACAACACCAGCAAGAATTGAAAATGAAATCACAGCAAATTAGCTGTAATTGAATTGTTGCCTACTTTGCATGCGTTTTGGTCTAATCGCCTTAAAGCGAACAGGAGAGACAGAGGCGGGGGCAACCAGAACTTGTTGATTACCGACGACCCAGACAGGTGATCAACAACAACAATAGCTGGAATGTTGAGTTCAAGTACACGGACTGGTCAGAGGCGGTTCTGTGGCCCTTGTAACGCACGCCTCGTATCGTATTTGTAGCGTCTCCGCGTATTTGCCACGCCGGCGAAACGGCACAACGGCAAACCGAATACAAATATTTGACGTTTTAGTCTAATTAAATTAGCTCAGAACACAGCGCTGGCCCTCGGGAAAATGGTATAAATTTCTGTGTTACGGCCAATTGGCCAAACGCTGTTCAAAATTCGCAAAGACCGACGCGTAACTAAACACAGTGTCTCACAGTGCGGCGAGCAAAGCGCTACAATGTTTCATTTTCGCTGAGAATATTGAGAGAAATAGTTAAATAATATTATACACTAAATTGCTGTGTAAAGAATAAAAATAGCTGCTGCGCGCCTCAACGTGTGCAATACAAAAGTTAAGCCACAATATTTTTTACCTCTAAGCCACATGAAATTCCGACGTCCATTGTGCGGCCGAGCTGAACAATTGCACACGGTTTTATGCGCCAGAATGCAAGAAGTAAGTGGCTTAAGTGTCCCAGCGACCATGTGAATTATGTAGCCAACGGTGTGAGCCAGAGCGGGCCGAGAGACAGAGAGAGAGAGAGAGACAAATAGAGGGACAGAGAGCGCAATAGCAAACGAATTGAAAAAAATCACCGAACAAAGCTGCTGCCGGTCATTGTCTGCACACATATCAGCGTGCAAGTGTGTGTGTGTGTGCGTGTGTGCAATTGTACTGCATATTGAAATTGACTACTAACAAAGACTGCAAAAAGTGCTGAGGCTTAACTTTAAAAAACTCCAGGCATAAATATGAAAATATTTGTAAATCAGGTATTCAAAGACCCAGAGAAAAGCATGTTCTACCCACAGCTATTAGAAATTTTGAAATTGTTTTATATAAGTATTTATTATTATTGCTTAGTAATGTGAATTCCCTGTAAAATCTAAATGCTGAAATAGAAAATTCCTTAGAATTCCCCTGCCTGTAAAGATTTTGTATTTATGAAAATATAATTAAACATTACACAAGAAAGCATATTTAAAACATCAATTTCTATTACACACTTACATGGACTGTCAATAACTATTGACAACATTTCATAGACGTCTTTAGATAGTATCTTTAGATGAAGAGTTTCTAGTGACCAAGGTCTTCCCTCAGCATCCTTAACCATAACCAAGAAGTGCCTTCAAAAATTATGTTATTGGTCTGCGTAGAAAGTGTCATAGACAATTGCTAGCTGTCAAGGCAACAATACGTGAGTTTCCCACTAAACGAACACACCTAAACAGCCAACAGCTGACGCATGCATAAAGATATATGTATATAGTTTCGTATATATCAGCTGTATTTGCAGATAAAAACGAATTTATGATGGCAGTTTTATGTGTTTCCTTGTCGGCAAAAGGAAAGAATTAAATGAAACTATATGCATGTTAAATGGAAAAAAAAGAGAGAGGCCCACTTATAATTCTATTAACTTAATTAAACAATGCAATTGTTGCCTTTTGTCTGGCTACTCCAAAGCTTTTCACATACCTCCTGCTGCTGGCCTCGGCGGAAGTGCATTTTTGCCGAGGGAGGCCATATAAAATTTGCATTGCCTGGCAACATTTTTATGCGACAACGAAAACACTTCAAAGGCAAATGCTCTTTAAAATAAAACGCGTGCTTTAAATAAATATTTATGCATTGATTGGACAATTGCAAAAATCAACATGTTCAGTAATTGAAGTAAAAGATCAAATATTTTGATGTGCGAGTTAAGCTGCGACGCGAGCAATAACTAAAAACAATATTTCGTTTGTAAATTGAGTTATTTGTGAAATGAAACACTTGGTGGCCAGCGGGCGTGTGTAAACAAATGCAGCTATAAACAAACGCAAGTGCGAAGTAAAAGAAAAATCAAATTAAATTGAGCAAAAAATGTGCAAAATGCAAATGTGAAATTTAACATTGGAAAATCTTCAAGAAAACTAACTTTGAAACTGAAAGCATGTGATTTTCAGTTGTTCTTTGCGCTGAATAAATATGATAAAATGAAAAAGTGAAAATTATCATAATTAAATTAAAATTATAATTATGAGTTATAAAATTAGTGTAAATCGGAAATATTAAATTTTTATTCAAACTTAATATCCACTGACTAAAAGGAAGACATTTATATACGAAAGCACAAGATATGAGTAAAAATAATATATAAATTTAAGACTAATAATTAAATTAATAATCAAATATATATAAAAAAATAAATACTTAAAATAATAAAATTTATTCTTATATATTTTAAGAAATGATAGATTACTACATATTTAATTTTTAATATCAATGATATGATAAGTTCAGTTCTCCTTCCTCTAAAATAACTCCATCAATTTACTTGCAGCTGAAAATTGCTCAAAAGTTTAATGAATAAAATTGTCGAAAAACTTAAAAAGAGCTTAGCAGAGTTCAGGCTAAAACTGAATAAAATAAAAATAAATTAAAATTATAAACAGCTTAACGGACAGCTTTGAACAGACGCTGACCAAATACCATAAACCAAGACAAAAACCAACTGCACCCACACACACACATGCATTACTGCCTCATGGTGAACTGGAAACAAGTGTGATCACAAAAAAGTGAAAATAACTTCACTTCAGAGTTGAATGCAGTGGGGCTTAGTGTTTGCGAGTTTTTGGTTTGGCTTTTGGACTGTGAGCGTGTGTGAGCGGGCGTGAGTGTGCTTAAGCCCATGCGTTGACAAGCAGCTGCAAAAAGAGAAATCTGCAATAAATGAGCTTCAGAACTTTTCCAACAACACAGACACAAATAAATTACAAGTCGCTTTTTGTTAAGTGAATTACACACACCCACACACACTCGTGCCCATACACACAGATATCATAAAACAGCTATAAACATGGGTCGCAAGAAGAAGCAACCGATGGGCGTAAGTATTCAATAGTAGTTGCTCAACTATTGCATGTAACAAGTAGTTGCCAGCTTCTATGTGCATATTAAGCATACGCCGCATTGCACGCGTATTAGCTACTGCCGTTGCCACTGGGCGCCTGCTGGCTGCTGCTGCTGCTGCTGCTGCTGTTGCCGGCTACCGGCACTTAGCTTAAACGCTCCAAAAGGCACATTTCATTTCCATGCCATTTAAGTGGTGCAAATAAAGCAACCGCTCAGCCAGGCAACCAACCATCCAACACTTTGCACTTAATTTCCCTATATGTTTACGTTTATTTTCTTTTTTTATTTTTATTTATTTACACCTGCGTGTGTACTTTCACATACTTACTCTGCATTATTTTTGAAATTTTTTTGTGGCTCAGTTGCCGCCCGGTGGTGTCGCTGGTGGCGCCCCTAAAACTGTGGGCGGCTGTTGTGTGCCTCTGGGATTACCGCAACCTTTGCTGCTTGAGGAAAAGAAATTCTTGTTGGCTGTCGAGCGTGGCGATATACCAAATGTGCGCAGGTGAGTACCGTGCAATGACGTTGCGCTTCCTCTTCTACATTTTTTGCAGTACCGCCGAATTCGGGCCGGTTTTTTTTTTTATAAATGTTGCGTCAGGGGACGCGCAGGTGTCGATGGGTCGTATCCGTATCCGCGTTCGTAACCCTCAGCGGGATGTGCGGTAAACGTATAAATCCTATCAGCACGAGGGCGTGTGTGTCTGTATGTCATTTTGTGTGTGTGTGTGTCTGAGGGATGTCTGTGTATGTGTCTGGCTGTGTATTTTGGGTGTTTTCAATTATTTGCATAGCTGCCTGTTTGTTTGCCCTGAGGCATATCTTATGTGCCACTTAATAAGCAATATGCGGAAACGACTCCTGTTTGCCATTTCCATGCCATTTAAAAGCGCATTTTAATAAATTTACAATTAATTTCGTTCTATATTTAAGAGCGCAGACAGTCTGTTGAGTGGGCGGAACACTTAAACTACCATACAATAATATCAAATTAAATATTTATAACTTTCAAATGAGATTAAACAAAATTTCATTTAAATTTCATTTGACGATAAGTGCTGAGAGCGGAAGCTTTTTGCTATTCAAAAATATTTCGTTTACTGTTTGCATTATCTTATATATATTTATATATTTATATATTTATATATATATAATATAGTATATATTGTTATGAGACAATCTTTCTATATTTCTATAAATTTCAGTCTCTAGCCCAATATGCTTATGATTATAAAACTATCTTTTTAACTGACACAAATAAAAAGCAAATAGTTATCGATACAAACATACTTGATATGAACGGGCTATAGACAGACATACAAAAAATAAAGAAATGGAAATACATAGGGAGAGACGGACAGGGCTACATACATTTATACAAAACTATTATACCTGATTCCCCTTTTCAATCTGCTCAGGCCATAACAGATTTTTTTGGTTAAATGCCAATCGATAGTTGTGAGGCGTAAGGTTCCAAAAAGCTGTCATTTTTCAAATCCAGAGATCCAGATAAATATTCCAAAATTTGTATTAAACGTATCAGAGATTCTTATATTTCCAAACAGAGCCGACATTCGTTGATCTAGTTTTACTTGTTTGCATCCCAAATCAAACTGAACCTTTGGCAACTTTTGTCATTAAATTCCATTACATTTTTACAAATTTTTTTAAAATGTAAAATTAAGTCTAACAATGCGGAACAATCGAAGAAGTCACCAAATTTCCCAAAGCATAAATATATTTTGCTATCAACATTGCTTCTAGACAGCCATTTAAATATTTCCGCTAATGGGCCACTAAACATCCGCAACAACGCAATTGGTTTGGTCAAATAACCATTTATGAACAATCATCAATTGTTTTAAACATGAAAGAGTACAAGCATTTAACACATGTGATCCTATGTGTGCTCTGTTAAATATGAAATCATAAAAGTGTAAAAACATCGAGTCATTAGGGGCAACAGACTCAACTTGTGTAGTGTGTAACTTGGATGTCGATATGGTTATGGTGGTGGTGGTGGTGTCTGTTGGTGGTGGTGGTGTTGTTGGTTATATTCTGCCTGAAAGTGTGGTATTTGCTGTTGCCTAATTGTTAGATGCATTTGTTGTTGTAGTTGCTGCTGCTGCTGATGTAGTTGATGTAGTTTTTTTTTACATTTTTAGATTAATAAAACGATAGGGATTGTAGCTTTTCATCTCATCTAAGGTGTAACGATAGTGTGCCTTGGACGGCTCCTCCTCAGAGCCAATCGAGTCGTCCTCCTCCTCGCGCTGCACTCGAATGCCTTTCAGCTGGCAGGCACGACGGTAGAGCTCCTCCTCGCGATCCTTGTAGAACTGCCAGGAGATCCGGCTGAACGCGGGCATTTGATTGAACTCATGTCCAGCTCCATTTGGTGGGACAGCAAACCAATTGCCACCACCTATTTTAACTGTTTGCGTTTCTAATTGACGGATGGATGAATGAATGGATGTATGGATGGATGTATGAACACACCCTTTTGTTTATTTAAAGGTCGGGCTGCGGCACTCACCCTTGTTTTTTTGTGCCATCTTGATGACCAAGCCTTGATCCTTAGTAGCGTCCATTCTAATTATTTTTTTTTGTTGTTATTGATTTGGAATAGGTTTACAAATAATTTAAGTGCCAAAACAGTTTGTTTTATTCGGCGTTTTATTCAATATATATTTCGTTTTTCTTTGAATTTTTTACAACAATTTATGTTGACGAACAATTGTAAAATGAATATTCTAGATATTGCCGCAAGGTAGCTAAACTGAAATTTTGACAGCTGCAAGTCAAAGGTAACTACGTTGACTGCCCTGTCAATTGAAAAGTGTTGCAAAACGCACCACCAAATACCACAACAGCTCACAGCGCTTGCCAATACTGGACTGCTCTTTAAATTTAATTTATTTATGACTTGATTTGAGGAGCTTGTAGAAACTTTTTCATATTAAATTTGGCTCCACTTACAGCCCTAACTAGTTGCCTTTTGTAAAAACAAATACGGAATACCCAAACAATTTTGAGTGCTTTTTTGGCACTCGATTGATTGGCAAACTTTTCGCTGGAGTCGCATATAATTAAAAACTTTGAGAGCTGAATAAAAACGCAAGAGCAAAAGTTATTCTCGGCCGCTTCTGTTTTCCAATAATTTGTTTTTCTTTTTTTTCTTAGCCAATTGATTTTAATTATTCGCCACTCCCACTTGTGGCACATCTTTCCTTAGAATATTGCAGAAGGCATTGCGGCACCAGCACATCAATATTAACTGTATGGACCCACTGGGCCGACGAGCCCTAACGTTGGCCATCGACAACGAGAATCTAGAGATGGTCGAGCTGCTGGTTATCATGGGCGTGGAGACAAAGGATGCCCTACTGCATGCCATCAATGCAGAGTTCGTTGAGGCCGTTGAGCTGCTGCTCGAGCACGAGGAGCTCATTTTCAAGGAGGGCGAACTCTACGTAAGTAATACAGCTACCCACTTTTCTTATCATACCTATATCCTGGTGCTGCACTCAGCTAATTTGCGGCACACATCGAGTGGCTCAGCTTTCAGTTGCTGCTCGAAACTGAAGCTAACACGATTTTAATCAGTTTTGTGTGGCCTCGTTAGGCACGTACATGACAGACGCTCAAGTGATTGGGAGTGTGCGAGCCAATGCTTCCGCCTCCAACTGTTCCTATATGCCACATACGTATGCACGATAATCCCTGTCTGTGCTTCTGCTTATCTACATTATACACTTGCTTTGGATCCTATAATTTCATTGTTCTATATGTAAGGTTATGCTGTGGACAGCTCAAATTTATTTTATTCTGAATTTGATTTTATTTCATGACAGATGCTTCAATTTCAAAAGCTACGAAGATAAACTGTATATGTTTAGCTAACTCTATATAGATTAAGCATAAGAAGTTGTAGCTTCATTTTTATATAGTTTATATAAATGTATAGGAAATACAAGAAACTTTTACATTTCCTTAAGATCAGGTGAGGAATCATTATCACATAGAAAACTTTACCACGCCAAGCTCACTGCTTAATCTGGCCTAGCTATATGTTGATTCCAGTTCAAGTTTTACTTTAGCTCAGCTTAAAAGAGATTTCCATTAGCAACTCACACTCTATAAAACCACAATTTATCCAACTGCTCTGCCCTTATCAAATAAAAAACTCCATAGCCATATGTTAATTCCAGTTAAAGTTGAAGCCGTGATGCGTTTAATATATTTTATCTCAGCTTAATAGGCTTACCATTTACAACTCGCAGTCTATGTAAGGCCACTATTTTCAACTTTTATTTTAAGGGTATTTAAACTTCCACTATGACGCCTTATTATTATTTTCCTGTTCAAAGTAAAGTTGTATGAGTGCGGGCGGGCATCTTCCTAGTCTCATGCCACACACGTATATTTATGTACATACGACCACACGCTTCATTAAGCAGCCATTGGACGCAATCGAAGCGTGAAAATTACAATTGTACTCATATGCAATAAAACGTTTAATGAGGCCAAAATATCATCTTGAAAGTTGACACACTTCGAGAGTTGGCCCACCTTAACCTTAACTGTAAATTGTTTTTGTAGAGCTGGCAAAAGGTGGACATCAACACAGCGATGTTTGCGCCGGATGTGACGCCGCTGATGCTGGCGGCGCACAAGAATAATTTTGAGATATTGCGGATGCTGTTGGATCGAGGGGCCGCTGTGCCTGTGCCCCATGATATACGGTGAGTCGTGCCAGCCTCTGCAGGAGTCGCCATTAATCCTGACTTGTTTAGCTGCGGCTGCGAGGAATGTGTGCGTCTCATGGGCGAGGATTCGCTGCGGCATTCGCTGTCGCGCGTGAACATCTATCGTGCGCTCTGTAGTCCATCCCTCATTTGCCTCACGTCGAGCGATCCAATACTGACCGCTTTTCAACTTTCCTGGGAGCTGCGCAATCTAGCATTAACCGAGCAGGAATGCAAGTCGGAGTACATGGATCTGAGGCGGCAGTGCCAGAAGTTTGCCTGCTGCTTGTTGGATCAAACACGTTCTTCCAATGAGCTAGCCATCATATTGAACTATGATCCTAGTATATCTAGCTATGAGCCGGGTGATCGGATGAGCCTGACGCGTCTTGTGCAGGCCATATCGTACAAGCAGAAAAAGGTTGGTAAGATGCAAAAACTTAGGAAAGTTTCATTCTACAAGATACAGATTCTAACTTATAGTAAATACTCTTCTTACATCATAAGCAGCTCTTGCTGGTATCTGTCAGATATCATATATTTAGCATATATAAAGTGTGTCAATATTACTTTAGAGTATTCCAGATATTTAAATATCTTACAGATACTTTTTAATTTGCGCTTTGGCTTTTTACAGATACTTCAAAGCCGCCGTATTCTTGCCAATAAGCACATGGCTTTGTATCTCACTGATACTTTAGCATTTGCTATTGTGGCTCTTGGATACCTTTTTATCTCAAAGATGAACTTTGTGTTTAATTCCTGCTTGTCCATACCATTTCTACATTTTGTTTGCAGTTTGTGGCCCATTCGAACATCCAACAATTGCTGTCATCGATTTGGTATGACGGACTGCCCGGGTTCAGGCGCAAAGGCATCGTAGACAGGTTCATCTGTATAGCTCAAGTGGCACTACTGTTTCCCTTCTACTGTTGCATCTATATGTTTGCGCCCAACTGTCGAACGGGTCAATTGATGCGAAAACCGTTTATGAAATTCCTGATCCATGCGTCCTCCTATGTGTTCTTTTTGTGTAAGTAAAAGTCGAGCAACGAGTAGGTTGGGGCGTGGGTCAAGTAAACCGTTTATGCTATAATAACAGGACCAGAGCCAGCTTATATCCCGACTGTTTACCTTGCAGTTATCCTCATATTGGTATCTCAGCGTGCGGACGATGATTTGGTGCGTCTCTTCGGGACGGCACGAATGAAGACAGAGCTGGCTGAGCAAGAGCAACGGCAACGTGGTCAGGCACCCAGCAAACTGGAGTTGATTGTGGCGCTCTATGTGATTGGGTTCATGTGGGAGGAGATCCAAGAGATTTTTGCCGTGGGCATGCAAAGCTATTTGCGTAACATGTGGAATTTCATTGATTTTCTACGCAACAGCCTCTACGTGAGTGTCATGTGCTTGCGGTAAGTTCAGGTTCAAAGTGAACGTCACACAGCTAACAAACTATTCACGACAAACGCCGCAGCGCCTTCGCCTACATACAGCAGGCAACGGAAATCGCGCGAGATCCGCAGATGGCCTATATACCGCGGGAGAAGTGGCACGACTTTGACCCACAGCTGATTGCCGAGGGTCTGTTTGCGGCGGCGAATGTCTTTTCCGCCCTCAAGCTGGTGCACTTGTTCAGCATTAATCCGCATTTGGGTCCGCTACAAATATCGCTGGGACGCATGGTCATTGACATAGTTAAGTTCTTTTTTATCTACACACTCGTGCTGTTCGCCTTCGCCTGTGGTCTGAATCAGCTGCTCTGGTATTTTGCGGCGCTGGAGAAGAGCAAGTGTTATGTGCTGCCCAATGGCGAGGCGGACTGGGCCTCGCATGGCGACTCCTGCATGAAATGGCGACGCTTTGGCAAGTCAGTCCAGTCATTCAGTTAATTAGAAGGCATATGTAATCGTAACTGGTCGTGCTTTGCAGCCTCTTTGAGTCATCGCAGTCGCTGTTCTGGGCCAGCTTTGGCATGGTCGGCCTGGATGACTTTGAGCTGACCGGCATCAAGTCATACACTCGTTTTTGGGGCCTGCTCATGTTCGGCTCATACAGCGTCATCAATGTGATTGTTTTGCTGAATCTTCTTATAGCAATGATGTCTAATTCGTATGCCATGATTGATGTGAGTCGCGGAAGCTAAAGGTCTGACCACGGGCTTCATTAATGACATTGATTGCGTGATTTGCAGGAGCACTCGGACACCGAGTGGAAGTTTGCACGCACCAAGCTCTGGATGAGCTACTTTGAGGACAGCGCCACGCTGCCTCCGCCTTTTAATGTTCTGCCCTCGGTTAAGTGGCTCATTAGGGTGTTTAGAAAGTCCAGCAAGGCCATCGATCGACAGCGTTCCAAGGTGAATGCCACTTTCCGAATCCCTCAACTGTTTCAGTTCACATTAAAGCCAATTATCCCTGCACCAACAGAAACGTCAGGAGCAGGAGCAGTATAGCAAATATGATAACATCATGCGCTCCCTGGTCTGGCGCTATGTCTCAGCCATGCATCGCAAGTTTGAGAACAATCCGGTTACCGAGGATGATATCAACGAGGTCAAGAGCGAGATAAGCACGATGCGTTATGAAATGCTAGAGATATTTGAGAACAGCGGCCTGGATGTGTCGTCAGCCAATAAAAAGGAAAAGCGTAAGTGGCCACAGTCTGCTACTTGACCTATGTTTAATATATATATTATATATTTCCCGCAGATCCGCGACCACGTCGCATGAAAGTTTGGGAGCGACGCCTCATGAAGGGCTTCCAAGTGGCACCGGTGCAGGTTAGCGGCGAACAGGAGCTGCTCAGCAATGTGAATGGCGACGGCGAAATGCGTGAGGTCAAGGTCGAGTCGATGCCCTCGAGGCCGGCCAAGGAGACGGCACGTGAGCGTTTCCAGCGTGTAGCACGCACCGTGCTGCTACAGTCGAGCACACACAAGTGGAATGTGGTGCTGCAGAGCACGCTGCAGAACTCACAGATTGGACGCAGCACTAAGTATCAGCGCAAGAGTCTGCACAATCTGGGCAAGGCCATCGAGGAGGCCAGAAAGTAGGTAGCTCTACGGTAAACTCAATAAATGATTCTAACCAAATACTCTAAAGGCTCATTTTGCTCAACCCCGGCTGCGCCTCGGGGCGCGAGTCACCCATTCGCATTGAGTTCGAGGACGAGAAGACCAGCACGTTGCTGGAACTGCTCAATCAGATCAGCGAGGAGATCAATGTGTGCGAGCGACCACGCCGTAAGCCCTGCTGGCGTCCCCCACTGCGAACCGTACCCGCACGTGCGTTGGCCGCAAACAATGAGTGGTCCAGATCCAATACGGCGCCGGAGCTGCAGCTGAATCGCAAGTCGGCAACAGTGGCGCAGCCAGCGCCAAGTCGCAGCAGTAGCCGCACACGCGAGCTACCGTTATGCCCAAGTAAGCTGGTCACGGCTGCTGCACCCACCGCCAAAAAGACGGCGCCGTCTGCCCCAATCCCTCCGCCGGCAGCAACCAAAGCCTTAGCAACAGTTAATAATAGTCACAGGGCTAAAGCGACGACGCCCTTCTCTGTGGAGCTTGCTCGTGGCAGAGGTAACTTACATCGCGTGCAGCCGGCCCATTCGAATGCCTTCGATATACATGTCGTGGATTTGGATGAGCGCAGCCCAAGCAGCACTGCATTTGATAAGGATAACATGTCCGATGTTAGCTCCACTCTAAGCATGAGTCCCAAGCGGCCGAATCCTTAAATGCTTCGTTTGCGTGGCGCCTTGTGATAAGCCTCTGGCCCCGAAACAGGCTGCGGCTTTAGTGCCACTTACAGCGTAACATATACCAAGCCATCAAATATCTACTACAAATAACAGAAAAATTATATACATATACAAATTGGAAGTCAAATGTCTTTTTTATTTCTGCATTCATTTGGCATTCATTACAAATTTGAGTTTATTTATTCACACGTAATTCCCATGAACAAATGAGCGCAGTAAAATTTGAATTTGTGTCTGCGTTTTAAATCGAAATGGGACCAAAAACACCCTGTAAAAATGAGAGTGCCAGACTGCGAATTAATATGACCTCAATGATAATGATGATGCCAATACAATCAATTTAAGATCTCACGAAAGTGCAAAAAAATCTATTCATATTTTTGAAGATTAGTTAAAAATATTTGCAGCGTCCATCATAATCTGCAGTAAGCGATGAGTGTCGTGGGTTAAAATTGCTTTCTTAAACTTGAAATATATCTCTATGTCAATTCAATGTGGAGTCAATAATCTGAAAACAAGTTGTTTATAATAAATCCATTTAGAATAGCAGACATAGCCAATGCAATTCTTTGCCAGAAAATTATATTTAAAATTTGATTGAAATATATTGAATTTCTTTGTGTTCTTAATACTTGTTAGTTCGCTATTCAGCTGAGTTAAAGCTAAGACATAGACACGCGTTTTTAAATTTGACAAACAAACTCTGCCATGAAATGTACATGCCTCACTTAGATGTACTATGCTCGGCTAATAGGCTCGCCAATATAGCCATTTACATATAATCGTATGGCCTGGACGATGGCAATAGACACGCGAACTCATGTCTCGGCGGGCGACCCTTCCGGCTGGTTGATTTTTTATACCATCTGCGCCCGGCTGGAAAGGCAAAACGTGCGTAAATTCCTAAGCTGGCAGCATTAAACGCAATAAAGACACAACAACATAAACAAGTCGCCCGGAGAGCTAAACGCCACTCTTAGCCGTGGGCCATTGAAGAATATGAGGAGAGACCAGAAGACGAAGAGCTGGGCAGGAAAATTACAAATTCAATTTGATGTCATATCAATTGATTTTGCGATACATCTTGTTGCCTTTGTCGCTGACAAGCTGCAAACACACAACGCTGACGTCTCCTCCGTACAGTGGTAGGGGTATTCCCTATATACAGATGTGTATACGCTTTTTTTTGAGGCTGTTTTTCTCTGCGCCTGGCATTTGATTTTGATGACGCGTGGCACTTTTGAAATTTATGCGCTACTCTAAACACACTTTGTATGCGCTCAATGCCACGGCAAACATGACGAACAGTCCAAGTAGATGCCACAGAGTGTGTGTGCGTCTCGTTGTGTGTGCTGCATGAAATTTGAAGCTTTTAGCTGATTCGCTCTGTCAGTAGGGGATAAGCGCAGGTATTTTGAGCACGCACCAAGAAACAACACGAGGCAAGCAAGGTAAGTTCCTGGAATAAATTCAGACAAATATGAATTCCTCTACACAGACTAATATATGCTTAAAAGATATTTGAATTGTATCAGAAGCCTCAGGCTTTGACTATTTTATATCTTTGAAATAAGCTTTTATTTAAATATGAAATTTGCCCTGTAAAATAGCTAATAAATGTGTAGTCAACGTAAAGCGTGGAAGCCATTTCGAAGCCATATTGTAGTACAAAAGTAACCTAAGTGTGTGTATACCCCACCAGATATAGGATATATATATGAGATTATTGTTTATTTGTGCTTTTTCTAAAATAACTCAAGCTTTTTGTGTGGAATTGAATATTTTATGAATCATCTACAAATCATTTTAGGAGCTCAAAAATAATAAAAATAATCTAACAATTGTAAATTGAATTTTACCCAAAATACTTTAAGCCTGAAAAAATTTGATAATTGTAAAATAATTAACTACTTGTCTTAAAATGAACTGAGTTGAGTCATTTGCATCTGTGAAACTTTGGAAATTCCACATGCCAATATCTTTTAGGAGCTCAAAAATAATAAAAATAATTTAACAATTGTAAATTGAATTTTACCCAAAATACCTTAAGCCCGAAAAAATTTGATAATTGTAAAATAATTAACTACTTGTCTTAAAATGAACTGAGTTGAGTCATTTGCATCTGTGAAACTTTGGAAATTCCATTTGCCAATATCTTTGAATTGCTCTAATTCACAATGACACCAACTTCTGGCATTCAAGCAACTGTCCTATGTGCAGCCTGTTGCCACTTACACAAGTCGCTGTCAGCGTCTGCCCAAAAGCATATTTCACTGCCAATTGTGCTCAGGGCACAAGAGAAGGCAAACGAGGCGCCCATAAATATGCTACACGAATATGTCATAAACTATTAGCAGTCATGTCCTTTCATATGGCAGCTCTGACAAACAATCTCTACTTCACACACAAACACCCGCACAGTTGCCACAGGCAGCTTGACATTCATTGTCAAATAGAGAAGTTGAGAGGGAAATATGCTCTATGAGCTGAGCTGGGAAGAGCTCTATGCATGCCATACACGTACACAGAAATCTATCAAATTACCAAAAATAATGATAATCATCTTCATAAAAATGATGAGCCTGTTAAAAGTTTGCAAAAATTCGTTTTATTTACACATTTTTGTTTTACGAGTAGAGCAGACAACAAACTCACGTGTCGATGTCTGTTTATTATATATATATTATATATATAGACTAGGTATTATACAGCTGATTAAGCATGCATTAGCATATATTGATTACATTTAGCACTAACAACTATGTCTAATAGGAGCGTGTCCTTGTCACACATACACATATACACAACATGGGAGTTGGCGCAGCTGGATCAATCGCTGGTCAGCTTCAGTCGCACAGCAATGCGTTTGCACTTCCACATGAGCTGCGTCTCCAGTATGCTAAAGGACATGGCCACTAGGACGAGGCCCAACAGCAGATACGCACAGCATGCGTACAGCTGCAGCTCGGGTCCGTTGAAGCTGCGCGCTGGCACAAAATCGCCATAGCCAATTGTCGAGAGCGTGACAAAGCAAAAGTAGGCGCCATCCACCAGTGACCAGTTCTCCCACAGAGCAAAGATAACGGTGCCCACGCATATGTAGCACATCAGTATAAAGAGCACCAAGCTAATGGGCACCTGTCGTTGCGACTCCTCATTATAATCATCATCATCGTCATCGTCCTCCTGCTGTTGGTGCTGATGCTGCTGCTGCTGCTGCTGGTGCTGGTGCTCCACACACTCATGGGAGCCATTGCGACGGCTGTGCTTAAGCTTCTTCAGCACGAACTGTTCACTGCCGTGCTGCATGTACTCCTCGTCCTCGGAGGTCTCCGTGTTGGCGGTGGCATCGTACAGCGCAGTCGCATGCTTCTGGCAGCGACGCGTCAGCATCAGAGTCTTGCGATTCAGCGGCTGCAGCGTATGGCGATTGAAACTGGCCGCTGTCGCATTTAGTAGACCGCGCGCCTGATAGCCGCCGCTTGACTTCTCCGCTGGCGGCAGCTCGTGGGGCAGACTCAACGTGCCACAACCGGAACTCGCTATCAGAGGCACACGAGACGGTGTGCCATGCGGGCAATTGCTGTGAAAGAGAAGCGATAAAAAGACATGCGTAAGTGTTAGCCAGCCTTTTAATAAATATTTACGCAGCACTTGGATATAAAACGCCTTCAATTAAAGCAGCCAGAACACCAAGAACAAACAGCTAAAGGCCATAAAAAATAATGCCCAAGCACGTTCGACATGCGGTCAGTGGCCAATCAATAAGCCATAAAAGCAACCAGTTGGCATGCTATACGTGGCGTATGCGTTATGTTGTATTGTGTATACGCCCAGTCAGCCAAGTGATTTAGCTACTAGAAGGCTTTAAGCGAAATTTAATTGGATCGCAAAAAGGCATGATTGTATTCATGAATAAGTGGGAGCCACTATGGGCGTAGCTGTTACCTCAACCAGTTAAATGTTTTTGGCCAGTTATTAGCTTAAGGACCTGAACTTGAAACCTTATGAGCTTCAATAATATGCTCACGAACATCAAACAAAGCAAGATTATGGCTATACATTGAAAAGGCAAAAATGTATTTCAAGATCTTCTTCTTTTCAATTATCTTTTAAAGTATTTTAGACCTTTTTACGTGCATTTCAAAGATGAATTCTTTGATTCTTGTCAATATTGTTTGAAGCTTTTCGTTCAGCCTCTTTCACACGTTTACTTTTCTTTTTTTTTGGTTTGTATCTGAAGGTAACTCTAGCACCTCGTGACAACTTTAATCTTTGTGAAGTTTTCATAGGCTTATTTTTGTTAAGCAATCACAGCTTGCCAAGAAAGTTATTTTTAGTGATGCCCAAAATACACTACACCATGTAAAAATTATAAAACGGTATTCCATGAAAAGTTTGCTTATTAGCTCAGAGCCGAATATATAATAAAGGTGATAATACTTAAACAGAATTAAATAGTATATATCTAAAATTATTTTTATCTTAATATTATTTCCAGACCCTCAAGATGGCCGAGTACAATAGCATGCCCGATAACAAATTTCTGTGGGATGTGTTTCAACGTGTTGATAAGGACAAGAGCGGCTTAATTTCCGCTGAAGAACTGCAGGTGGCACTTTCGAATGGCACTTGGTCGCCCTTCAATCCAGAAACAGTCAGATTGATTATTAGTATGTTCGACCATGAGAACCGTGGCAAAGTATCCTTTCAGGATTTCGGAGCACTTTGGAAGTACGTGACCGACTGGCAAAATTGTTTTCGCTCATTTGATACGGACAACTCTGGCCAAATAGATAAGCAAGAACTGAAAAACGCTCTCTGCACATTTGGATTCCGCTTAACAGATCATTTAATCGAAATCCTACTAAACAAATTTGATCGTTTTGGCCAGGGAAATATTCTATTTGATGATTTCATCCAATGTTGCATTGTGTTGCAAACACTGACAGATTCTTTTAGGACATACGATACGGATATGAAAGGCGTTATTACCATAGACTATGAACAGTTCCTCAGAATGGTATTCTCACTTCAAATATAAAAGTCTGCAATGTGATTTTTAGAAATTAAATTATTAAATAGTGAATAGGCATTGACACAGTTATTTGTTGTTGCCTTTGTATCCGGGTTGCAATAGTATTCTACAGAGTTTGAGTGCAGATTTTGAAGAACTTTGAGCAATGCTTGATTACGAACTATTTTGACTCCGGCTTGAAATATTTTTAAATGCTGATTTACATAGTCAAATATTGCTTAACGCAATATATTAAGTCGCACATCATGCGAAAATTATATATTTTATTGCATTCATATTATTAATTATAATTATTATCATATTATTACCTCGATCTGAAGTAAGCCAAAAAATATATGTAATATAATGCTTGAAATCATGAGCTAACCAAATGACCGCTACTTAACAAAAATGTAGCTATATTTAAAAGTTGAACAGCTCAAATGCTATAGCTAATGCATATTGCAACTGGCTAGGGAAGCAGTCCACTTGAGTTGCAGTCGAGAGCGGCTGTCAAGTGTGCTTGGTCAAATCAATTTGCGGTACGTTTATTGAACTTGTCTGTGGTAATGACCAGCAATGGCAGCTAGACTGGACCAGCCTTGTTCGGTCTGGTCGAGCCTGGCAGGATGTCAGCCACTTCGACTAGCACTTAATGTGCGATTGGCCGGCAGCTTGGCAAACTACAAGCAACAGCGCACTTGAGAGCGAAGTGGAGAGAGGGAAGGAGAAAGAAAGATAGAAGCAGCCAAGGCCTTTGGGCCAGTCAACTCTTTTGATTTGGGAGGCACGTTGGCCAGGTCGACAAATGGGTTAGACTTAAAGCTCATATTTTCTGTAAATTTAAGCAGGCAAAACCCACGAGTAAAGCAAAGGGAGAAGCGGCACAGTAGATGGAGGTGGAGCCACACAATTCGCATGAAATTAAATGACCTGATTCAGTTCGCAACTCGGCTTACAATTAATTACGCACACACACACATAGACAAACACTCACAAACACGCACACACGCTCAGTGAGTGCGCAGCTGAAATTGAAGAAGCTACGATGTGCGCGCCGCCTGCCGCAAGAGGGCGCCAGAAGCGCGTGCACAGGTTCACTGTCAAAATTAATTACCATCTGCTGGATTTTATTAAATAAAATGCGCAAAATGTATACGAGTGAAAAAAGAAAACAGAACAAAAAGTAACGAGCGCAACGAAAATCATGAAAATTGTGAAATTCGGGCAGAGCCACAGACGTTGCCGCAAATGTTTGGCTCGGTTGCCAAGTGTCCGCTGCAATATGCAAGCGAGAATTCTGAAGTGTTGATTCAAAGTGTAGTCGACGTGCAGAAAGTTTGTTTATCAAATAAAATTAAGAGCTCAGTTTTATTATACCCACTATGCAGGGCGAAAATAGAAAGTAAAACTTTGTAGAGCCTTCAAGTTTGTATAGAAATTATTAGATCTAAGCTGCAACTAAGTTAAATTTAAGACATTTGGTAACACTTTAAATTATATGAAATTTAATTGCAAAATAAATTTGCATAAACAAATCTCATTAAATAATAGTTTAAGTGAGTAAAGGAACATTAAAATGTTTTTAAAAAGCTTTGAAAGTGAAGCAAAATCATAAAATATTTGATTTAATCAATTTTAAGAAGTTTGCAAAGTTATACGAAATTTTAGCATAAGTCAAATACTTTAAATTTGATATATGTCAAGCATCTGCTGCTTAAATAGATTAATAAGTATTTAAAATATTTTAAAAATTTAAATTTTAAAATTGAACAAGTATTCTTAACGCGTCTTTTGGGCTGAATTTGTTCTTAAAAACATTTTAAATACTGCACAAATTTCCAAATACAGCTCGTGCTTGAGCTCTGTTGTGGTTGTCGTTGCCAACTGCCTAACTATGTCTGGAATGTGGCCATGGCTACAACCATTAGGGTCTGCCGCCAACATCAACTGACCAATTGAAGCGTCTCTGTTTAACAAGACCAACAGCACGCCTCACAGCCTCATTTGAAAGGGCAACATCGCCTCTTGAGCTGCACACACACACACATACATACCTGGAACGCTCTCGTTCCAGCTCATCTTCGTCTTCCATAATGTCTACATTGCCAGCTGAGCTCAGCAGCGCCGACAATGTTGCTGCTGCTGTAGTTGTTGCTGTCGTCGATGTTGCTGCTAGTGCTGGAGATGTTGTTGCTGTTGCTGTTGCTGTTGCTGCAGTTGCTGTTGCATTGACTCCAACGCCACAGACACCTGCGGCTATAAAACTGTTATCGGGCATTGTTGCATTTGTTGCTGCTGCTGGCTTAATGCCGGCTGACAGTTGCGGGCTGCTTGTTGCTGCCGTATAGGTTAACAATGCAGCGCCTGTTGCTGCTGCTGCTGCTGTAGCTGTTGTTGCTGCGGCAGCTCCAGATAATGCATGCGGCAATAAATCATGCCTGCAGGATAAATCACTCGATCCCCCACTCAACAGCGCATTGATTTCTGGTGCCAGCGGCTGCGTCACAAATTTGGCCCGTCGCACGGCTGCAACGAGAAGAACAAGAAGACGTAACAGAAAAGTCAGTAGAATTAACAATGTGTTGATTAAATAATACTTTTCAAAATAATTTAAATAAACACACTTTTTGCCTGGCCAAAGTACAATAAAACCAAACGGCTAACGAACTGCAAAGAGAAGCCAACAAAAAAATGGGAAAAACTTTTTGCAAACTTTCAGCAACTGCATTTGTTTGACCCCCACACATATACAGGCAAGCCTATAAACATATATATTTATACATCACATGCTGTACTTAGTTAGTAAAATTATTTGTTTTTGCTCGAAAAGTTGAGCAGCATTTTGTAGCGGCTGGTTTCGAATTTGCACAGCAAAAGTTGTGGCCATCGCCTGGCACAGGCCACTGCAACAGCTGGCAAACATTGTGGTCAGGGTTGCCAGGTTTATCACAGTATTTACCAAAAATATTTAATAATCTGGTTGCTAAGCACTAAAATGTATCTTTACTCATTTTGCATTAATAACTCCATGTAATTTATTTATTTATATACTTATTGTTGTTTTTAGCTAATAATCTGTGTTTCTTTAAATATCAAATAGTTAATGACCTTAGCTCTTCTTCAAGTCAAAAGATAGACACAGCTTAAATATATAACAGGAATTAATTGAAATAAATTATAAAAGACCACGAACAATAAAAATTTCGTTTTCTAAATACATAAAATATTTTGTTAAATTTCATTTATTTCTGATAAAAAATGTTTAATAATCCAATATTTATTTTTGAGCAAAAATTAATAAAATTCTGATACTTAATGAAATGTAGAAAAATTTGAGAAAAATTGATTCATTTTTAACGCATTTAAATATTTGCGCCACAGTTTTCTGTCACGTTGTTAAATTTCATTTATTTCTGATAAAAAATGTTTAATTTATTTTTATATTTACTTTTGAGCAAAAATTACTAAAATTCTGATACTTAAAGAAATGTAGAAAAATTGATTCTTTTTTAACGCATTTAAATATTTGTGCCACAGTTTTCTGTCACGTTGTTAAATTTCATTTAATTTATTTTTATATTTATTTTTGAGCCAAAATTACTAAAATTCTGATACTTAAAGAAATGTAGAAAAATTTAAGAAAAATTGATTCTTTTTTAACGCATTTAAATATTTGCTCCACAGTTTCCCGTCACGTACATTTTTCATATCTCATATCAGCTGAAAATGGCAAAATAAGGAAGCCAAAGACCGGAAGGAAGTGACTGTAATGGCATCTTTCACTTAGACCCGCAACTGTTCACGGAACTCGCGTGGAACGCGTTGGGCTGTGGTCAGCACAGGACATGGCCAATTTCAAAATATTTACTTAAACTTGGCTGAAATACACACACACACACGCACGCACACATTTATTAGAGTGTGGAATGCATTTTGTACATGGCTGGGTGCAATGTGGCTGACAGTTTGTTGCAACTTTTTGTGGAGCGCTAATGGCGTGGTCAACCACTGAGGCAGAAGAGGAGCGCGAAGAGAGAGAAGGCGGGTCTAGAAGGACAATGACCACGCTTTGAGTGTCGGTGTCCTTTGTGCGCTATTTGGCACAGCTGAAATAATTAAGGTGCATATTGGAATGGATATGGATGCGACTATATTGATGTATTGACTGCAATTTGTGACAGCTAGCATAAAGAAAAGACAGAGCAGGAGGCGAGGACACATCGCTTGGGTAAATCTGTCACGTGCTCGTAGCAAAAAGTAAAATAAGTTTAATGAGTTTTGCATGCAGCTGACACGCAGCAATAAAGCGTGATACAGGAGAGGGGTAACGGTCGAGAGGACGTGTTGTCTGCCCGTCGTATACAGGCCGCTGACGTCTTGCGTCGAAGTGGCATGTGGCATGTGGCAACTGGTAACTGGCAACTGGCAAGTGGCAAGTGCCAAGTGCCAAGTCATCATTATCGTCAATAAAAGCTGTCGCACATGTCTCGCCTTGACTGGAGTGCATGTTGTTCTTGTTGTCCTTGTCATGTCCTTGCCGAGACGAGCTGTTGAAAACTTTTAATGTGCCGTCGCCACTATAAAGTACAGGCAAAAGTCGCTAAGTGCGCTAGCTTAACTCTGTCATTTTAGCACGCTCTCCTTTCATCTCTGCTCATTATGCTGTTGCTCTCAATAATGATGATTGTAATGATAATTTGCTGCTGACAGCAAATTGTTAAAATAATTATATGCACAAATGAGCAGAGAGACGAAGGAAGAGACAGAGAGAGAGAGAGAGAGAGACGCACACGCTGTACCACGCTGCGTATGATTGATGAATATCATTTCCATTTGTGGCCTTTACGTTCATCCCGTTCAAAGCTCTGCAATCACAGATGCACACACATCTCTGTGGTCTACCCATGTATATGTTGAGCTGATGTGTTAATAATAGATTTGCGGCATATATAAAGGAAATTAACGCGAATTTCAGTAAAGATATTAAACAGATGGCCTGAATGAAAGTAATATTAATATTCAGATATTTTGATTACGGAATCAAAGAGATTTTTATCATTGTATTACGTTGACTATAATGGCTATAGTGAGCCAATCGGGACTGCAGTACTATATTGATATTTAACTAAATTTAACGATTCTCTTTTTTCGGATTAAGCTAGTATCGTGCAGTCAGTCTGGAGTACAGAGCCTCTCATCTTACCAGAATAGAATAGCTGTATCGACAGCATTTACCCTCTGAATCACATTATTAGTCTGCTTTTAAACAGCTTTAAATAATCATAATGGCATTTGGATAAGTTGCAGCTTAGCTATGCATAATCCTTGTACTTACCATGCATATTGGCTGTCTGATAGGCCGGTGGAGGTGGCAATGTGATGGCCTCCAGTGTAGATGTTGCTGCCGTCAGGTCGACTGCCGCTGCCGTAGCTGCTGGCGCGACGTCCAGAGTGCTCAGCAATCGATGCTGTTGCTTGGCAGCTGGCTGCAAGTGTATCGTATGGTACTTGACCAACGGCTGTGCGCAGTTGCTTGTGCTGCCCGTAGCAGACGCGAATGGAAAGTAAATTGTGGCCGTGGCTGGAGCATAGCAATTTGGAGGCCCAGCTGTAGTCAAGGGCATCGTGGGTGCAGCAGTAAAACGCAGCATGCTGCTCGGCACGGCGACAAAATTTGGTGGCTGCTGCTGCTGTTGCTGGTGTTGTCGCGGCAAAGTTGTCGATAAATGCTGCTGCTGCTGCTGTGATGCCTGTGTTGCTGATGCGTTAATGTAATGCTGCTGCTGCTGTATCTGCTGCTGCTGTTGTTGCTGCTGCTGCAGCGATTGTTGTTGTGGCAACGGTGCATATTTCAGCAATGCATTGCCAGTTGTTGTTGTTGTCATTAGCATGACATCTGGCTGCTGTTGTTGCTGCTGGTAAAACTGCTGCTGCTGCTGCTGCTGTTGCTGATTCAACTTGCTTGGCATCGCATTGCGCAACAATTGACAGGCATCTGCTGACCGCAGGACAATGGAGAGTGCAGTCAAAAAAAGGACATATGAATGTTGATTAACGATTTGCCAATTGTTATGCTGACAATTCAATTTATAACTACCCGCCCCATCGTCCAACCACTTTGATCCTTTGTTACCTACCTTCGCCTTGTTCCAACGACAACTTGCGCTTCATTGTTGTCGTAGTCGCTGTCGTTGCCGCTGTCCTTTGGCCACATTCATAGCGTTCGCAGAGGCTCGTCTCGCTGCTGCAGCCTTTACAGTTCGCCTGCAATTAAGCCGGATAATTTCATTAATGCCGCACAGCTGTATTGCCAAGCGAAGATATAAATAATTGTTATTTCAGTTCATAAATATATAGGAGTTGGTGATGTAAGTTTAAAAGCTTTATGCATTCATTTATATTAAATGCCAGTTTTCTTAAGTTCAATTTTATGTCTCGCACATTTGCGTTGTCGTTTCATTTCCTCATGTCAACATAATGTGAAAGCTCTGTGTGTGATAGGCTGTTAAGTGCATGCTATCTGTATTAACATGATATTTTGATTGGGAATTGACAAAAACATGAAGGCTGACAAGTATTTCGATTGTTGGATAAGGTAGACATCCGCTTGAGTTGACAGCTAGTTGGATAAGAGCCCTTTGTTAGCAACTTGTCTTGTACAGTATGTAAAATTTAATTTAAGAATCTAAATAACGAATCTCTTTGTCGTTTACAAGATTAAATGCCCACACAAAAGCCGCTCATCTAATTTCTAATCAAGACCAAAAGGCAGCCAGACCTATTTGAAGACCGCAGCACAATTAACTTTAACAAGCTGCACAACACTCGGTATTTGCACCTTTATTTGGTTACTTTTAACAATCGTTGAGCGTGGCCATAAAATCTCAATAAAATTGTAATTGACACATTTGAAAAGCTTGCAGCTTTATACTCACTGATACATACTCTCAAGTTGATATCCTTGTTCTAATCCTTGTTGCGGTTCAATGTTCAACGTTGCGTGCTGTTATGCGAAACGTTGTCATGTTGCCATCGTGTTAGTTGCGGTTCTGTGGCACCATGATGAGACGCTGAGGCAACCGCACACACACACACTGAGAGGCACGCATACACTTGCATAACTCAAATGATATGCCACTGTGACTTTGCGGCTGCCCAAAAAACCATTTGCAGTGTCCATCATGATAATTGCAAATGGCAACAGCCACGACGAAGGATAACGAGCAGGGCAAAAGGCGAACATGCCAGATGCCAAAATGCCAAATGCCAACGGTCAACATGCTGATAATAATTCAAGCGATGGACGCATAAGGCCCCAACGTTAACCGCAGGGCTTATCAATAGACAGCGCCAGTGCCTCAATGGGACTAAAAATCTGCTTGTTACAGCAGCAGCAGCTGTGATTTGCCTAGATTGAATTAAGCCCTAATGAGTCGTTAAATGAGAGTTATGTGCAAAAAGGATTCCAGATCCTTTTTTCACTTTCTCAATTCGATTTAACCAAGCAAGACATTCTCACTCTATGCAAATTACGTTTCGTCGGCAGCAAATGCAAAAAACTTGTTGAACAACTTTCGAGCATATTGAACCAAACACGTCTCAGCCTAAGAGAGGCAAGAATTGAGATTCGTAAAGTGCATACCGAGTAGAATTTTTTATTGCCACGTGCTGCATGTGGCAACAATGTGGCACCGTACAGCAATGTAGCAGCGATGGAAAAATTTATGCTTTTCACTTCGAACAACAATGGAAAAGTGCTTCCATTTTAGGCAAAGTGTGGAAAGTTTTTAGAGAGAAAAAACTGCAAATAAAATTGAAAATTAAATTCAAATAAATTAGCTCAAAATAAATATAATAAATAATAACTAAATTCAACATTAAAATAATTATTAAATATAAATTTAAATTCATAAGCAAAAACAAACGCAAAAACTTTAAATCCGATTAAATTTAAGGTGTTAATTAAATTTAATGTTTGTTAAAAGCAGCGCCTATCAGCTTAAAATATCTTCTATAATAGGAAAGACGAGTTGTTACTTTGCCCTCCTTTCCATTACCATTATATTTGGAAAGTTTTTAATAAATGAATTGCTTGATAATGTCCTCAAAATGGAGCCAATTAGTTTTCCATTTCTTGAAGCATTCAAGTTATATATATATATGACTTTCGGAATTGCCCCAACCCTTCTACCGGAAACACAAACAAACCGTCTGCAGCACTTTTCCACAGCGGCTCATAAAAAAATCAATTATATTTCGCATTGTGCAACGGGAAATGAAAAGTTATTGCACGCTTTTAGCCTGGCCAGCGTAATTTGCAGGTCCGAAACTGGGCAAAAGTTTGCTCCAGAGTATTTTTAAAGTGAACGCAAACTCATTTAATTTACTTAACTTGGCACTTTATGTGGCCTTTAACCAGGAGGGGCGCAAGTCAAATTGCAACTGGCGTCAAAGTTTCGGCCATGCTCAAATTGTCAGCCCTTAAGGCTGACAGAGCTCCCAACTTGGTCGCGACGAAAGTTTCTATTCACTAAAATCAGTATTCTGCCCGTGCAGCGTTGCACTTCAAAGTAAATGTTAATGTTTATGTTAATAAATTTTAACCAAGAGCCAAATTAAATAGTCATTTTTTAAATGACAAACAAGCTGGTGAAGTCCGCTCAGTTCAGTGCAAACCACAATTCAGTTATTTGCCCACGCACGTGGTCCACTGAATGTTGTTCTTATTGTGATTCACTCTTCTTTTATTATCTTCCAATTAAACAGAAATTTCTGCAACCATAAACAAACAAACGTGCAAAATGAGTGACATAAATAAAACATTGTCTGATGATAAATCAACTTTGCAAATGTCCACATGAGCGGAAAGTTTAACAGTTATCTGCCTGTAATTGATGTGCTAGGAAATACTCTAGATGCAAATGATAATATGCAGATAATTAAATGCAATGAATAGCGGTGGTTAGATTTTTTAAAAATATTTAATCTTTTTAAATGTTATATATATATAATATATAATTCATATATTGTATAGAGTATCTTTAAATCATCAAATAAGTTGGGTCCTCAATTTTATTCAATTATATGTGCCATCTTTAATGTTGGTTACAAATTTATAAAATATGAAACCATTAAAACTTTGGTTGTTGAAAATAAAAAAAAAAATCAGTGATTGCGTTATTATCGCTGATTGACCGATTTTTCGCCATTTTCTTTACATTTTATTAAAATTTTTTTAAAAACCATTTGCTGAATAGTATCGTAGAAGAAAATTTAGGGTGCCAATAATATATATATATGTTTTGTCTATTAAGTTTAATTAGCTTTTATTTATTTCATTCGTGTTGAAATAGTTAATTTATCGAGAACAAAACTGCTGCTTGAAGACAATTTTTATATACACAAATAAGGGCAAAGGATAAAAGTAATAGAAAGGTAACGAAAATTCCATTGTTTTGCTCATGTCTGTTAGTGCGACTCAACAACAGAGCAGATGAACTTAAGTATATATTAGATATAAATAAAAACATCATATTGTTGCCTAGCTCATTTAGCATTTATAGAGCTAATGCACAGAAACATATATTCCTATTTAAAAAAATCATTTATATTTCTATAAGATGATAATCCTTTATGCACCCACTTTGCTTATCGGTTTAAGGCGAAGTTGGTTATATCAAGCAAATAATTAATTTTTAGCTTAATTTATTGTATTATAATACACAGTAACAAAACATATCATACATAGTTTACTTTTCATTCTTTAAGATATGTTTAAATACTAAAGTTTAGAATTGAAATGTGTTCATAAATGACGCAAGTTTATGCTATCAGAATGAAATAAATAAATTCAAAAAATTAAATTTAAATTTAAGTTCGATAAGAAGCCTATACCAATGTCTATATAAATGCATGTACTGAATATAAGTGCCAGAATTTTCTTCATCTATATTTAAACACATATAAACAGCTGGAGGACTCACATAAACTGCCAGCACATAAAAAGACACAAACAATATTGTAACCAAATTGATAAAGTTGCTCTAAACGAATATCTCCCTCTCTCTCTACTTTAAGTTCTGGGCACCTCGTATATCATAGGTAGAGGAAATACACTCAGAAAGTAAAGCGGAATTCATAGCTCAGGGCTTAATAAAAATGTCAGTGAGAGTCGTGGATGGTAAACAAATGGCTTACAAAACTTGTGCACGAATGCACAAAACATGCAAACAGAATGCCGAAGGCCGAAGGCACCAGCAACCACCGATTTTAGCCGGGTCTACAAATTATATATGTATATGGCGTGCGGAGTAAGCGCGACAGCCAACTTTTTTGTTATCACAGTAAATAAAAAAACGTAGCCTGATTTGCCAACACACACAATAACACAAAATAAAAGAAAAAGGGGAACAGCAAACAATCTGGACAGCTCGCAATCTGTAGCACGATCCCAAAAAGTTCTTTTTTCTCTCATTTTTTGTTCAAATCAATTACAAACTTTCAGTTTGCTCTTGCAAACAGAAAAAATACGTATCAAGTCCGGCTGCAAACCCGAAAATGGGTCTAAAAACTTAAAAGGTTTCCGTTGTCTTAATTAAAAATATGTTTTGCCCTATCGAAATTCAAAACCATGCTGAAACCTTAATGCAAAACTTCAAGGCTGAAATTCTGGGAAACTAGAGCAGCGCGAAATGTGCGGACAGTGGAAGCTGTAAGAGAAGCCAGCTGCAAGCTCACCTAAACGTTGCGCTTTGAATAAGAGACTTTTCGAATATTCAACATGTTTATTCTCAATGAAATGCTTATTGACAAAATTATTAATATAATAAATTATTAATATTATTAATAAGACAAAACTAAAATAAACATATAAAATTAAAACTTTACTTAAGCAAACAAAAAACTCCTAGTTTCCATCGAATTCTACATAATCTTGCTTTTATCGCAAACAGCGAAAAAAATAAAGTGAGCAGCTTGCATAGTTCCAGCTCAAAGTAACTTCCACATTTTAACAACTGGCTGCGAGAATCTTCAAAAATAAACTACACGCACAATAAGAGAAAAACCAAAAATATTTCACGTAGCTTTAGTTACAGCAGACCAAAAAAGTTGAAGCGCAAAAATGTGAGCAGCCAGTGAAAGTTTTCTCCCAACAAAAGCGCTCGCTGCTCTGCCTCAGTGGCCAAAACTGTGGCCATCATCAACGGGCTGAGCAACAATGCAGGAACTTTTGCTTTTGAAAGTAGAGTGGGAGGAATTTTAGACAGCAAACACTTAAGCCAAGATTTTGAGGCACACAGTTCACGGTGTTATTGCAGCTGTGCGAGAACTTTGACAGTCGTGGCAATCGAATTAAGATCCATAAAAAAGTCAACACGATAAAGTTGCAGTAACTTGACCTTTTTACTTCGCAGCATTTACTCGGGGCAGCTGTTGCATCAGCAATTGAACAATATCAATCATACGCAATGTTTGACTTACCCCATTCCCAGCGCCATGACGTCTCTTAGTCAATGTGCCCGTCGTCGTTGTCGTTGAAAGCGTCGCATTCTTTTCCACTCCAGAACTTCGACGGTGCTGCAGCTGGCAACAAAGCCGCATGTAGGTGCACTGCAGCGCCTCAGCGAGCAGAGCTCCCAAACTGGACAAACACATCAGCATCAAAGGCACCCCGATGAGCGCATAGAAAATGGTCGCCAGCTTGCCAGCTGCTGTGCGTGGTGTCAGGCTGCCATGGCCTATGGAAGACAAGTAAATAGACTCGAGTCAATATAATCATTTATATAATGACAGCATATTATATTACAAATGAATCTAAGGTACACATAAAAAGCCAATTCTGTGTTTTGAATTACAAAATATCAACCCAAGCTGCAGCTTATAATAACTCTTGCATTGTAAATATTTGTTGACAAAAGACTTAGTATTTACATATTTTATTTAATTTATTTAAATTACTTAGAAGGTAGTTAATTGTAGTAATTTACGTCTCTCTCTATTCTGTTCCCTAATTTTTTCTGACCTGGGTCCACAAAGTCCACAAAGACTTACAATATATTAAAACTTTTCAATATTATTTGCCTAATCATCAAATTGATTAGCATATAAACAAAGTGTAAGGCAACTTGTGTAAGTATTTCCAACTGTTTAGTTTTTTTCCCTAAAGAAAGATTAACATAATTTAAACTTTGTCTACATATTGTGTTTATTTATGTTTTTTCTTCACTTTCCTGAAAGACTTGCTGAGCTCCACTTAAAAACTTTAATTTTCATTTAAATATCCAATTTAGTCAACTGCTTTCTTAAGCAAATTAATCCTATTTTGGCTATATCCTTAGCGATTCGCGTGCCAAAATTAAGTTTTGTATTTGCTGCACTTAGTTAAACAGAACACTTAAGCTGCTCTTAATTTGCTAGAGTATTTGTAGCCCCTACTGAGAAAGGGCTTAACTATCAACCGAACAACACTTCATAATATATATATATATAAAGAGAGAAGAGAGAGAGAGAGAGTGAGTTGTGTTGGCACAGTAAGCACAGACAACAGGCTTTAACCATATGCAAATATTTTGGTTGAGCCCACTGGGCGTATACATAATATGTATGTTGTCTTGTCTTTGGCTGTCGTTGATGTTGCTATAGCCGATGGCCCTACTGCAATGTAAATATTAGCAGTTATTACAGCCCACTGCTATAAATTCAAAATGCCCCGAAGATGATTGTAAATACTAAGCAAACAGTGTCTCGAAGTAAAAAGCAATAGCTAAGCGACTTCAAATGAAAATGTTGCCACTCACCAATTGTTGTTATCACAGTCACCGAGTAGAGTAAAGCCTCGCTAAAGGTCCAGCTCTGCGTGTCGCCAGCATCGTAGCCAAAGTGACCCAGTGCACTGGCGCTGGCACTCGCACCAGGTCCTGCCACAGCGCCAGTTGCGCCACCAGGACGCGTCGCAGCCACAATGGAACCCTCGAAGCGGCGTAGCTGCTCGTGGACCAGCATCGTCCAATTCCGCTCATACAGCACGTTGAGTTTTTCTGCAATTAGAAATGGCAATTATAGCATAAATAAATAGCTGTTCACAAATGTATCTAATTGGGTCAAAAGCCTTTGACACTCAAGTCCCGAATCTGGCCAATTGCCAGCTGCACTCAGTAAAAATCTTAAGTGTAACCTTTGTAATTATGCAATTCCGTGCAAAGTGCATTGATAACCTTTAAGCTCTAACCGCGCGACCTTTACCAAGTGTCGCCCAGCAACGCAAGCCACGCCTCTTACTTGGCTGCCACTTCCTTTCGATTTTACTTGGTTTGTCTTGGGGGCGCTGCTCGCATTTGATTTTGCCTCTACAGCAAATTGCAGAGGTTGCTGCTGCCACAGCTTGTTAACAACAACAATCGTTACCAACGCCCACTTGACGCCATTTGGCCTTGGCTATGCCCACATTGCCGCCCCGGAGGCACAATTTAGACCCACCAGCGACTGCATCCATTTCAGCTGGAAATGAAACACTCAATACTCTGGGTCCTTGTATTGGCAGCTCGAGATCCTTGCCAGATGTAAATACCAAAGCAAATGTGCTTCGTGCTCAAGTCGAATTCCTATACATACATACATATATATATATATGTGAATATATACTCATTTTAATAGCAAATGAATGCGCAAGTGCTCTCCGCCTTTGGTTTCATGCTGGAAAAAGTCGGGAAGCACTTTACGTGACTGTTTGTGTAATATAAGTTGTTACCCTGCTGCCTTCACGTTGCTAAGTGGAAGCCACAGGAGTTTCTTAGCCTTCAGCTTTATTTAATGTAAACTAAATAAGTAGATAGCTAATTTAAGTGGCTCAGTTAAATTGCTGATAAATTTATTGCAATGAAGGCTGAATATCTTGGCTGAATAGAAACATTCTTCTTAAGGTCTTAATATCAACAATTCTCAAATATTGTTTGGAGTAATTCAGATATTAAAATCAAATTTTCCTTTAAACTTAAATTTCTTTTTCTATAGTATATTTTTATATTTTTATAAATAAATATATACTTTATACATATATATATATATATATATATATATATATATATATAAATATATATATTTGTTTCTTTTAAGTACACTAACACAACTTTTAATTTTATGTAAATTTGTACATCTGTAAGATGGAAACAAAGCCTAAGAAAACACTTGAAGCATGAAATTCCATTTAATTTTGTATAGAAAGCGCCTTACACGGCCTTTGCGCAAATATTTACATATTAAGCTAGCCCATCAAATAATGAGTATCTGCTATAATACCTGTAGAGAGTTAAATTAATCTAGTCATTAGAATTATTAATTAAATATGCCTTGAAGTGCTTAAAGCTTGCCTGCCTGAAATTTGGGAATTTGTCAAATGAATTGTGACTAGCAAAATGCAAAGCTGGAGTCAAGCTCGACATCATTAAGTCTTATAAATTAATCATATGCCAGGTGCGCCACTCCAACAACAAAAAGCAAAATGCGCGTAAATTAATTAGTTTATTTATGATGGGAAATTTTCATTAAATCAACATAAGCACACGCCAATGCACATGCCAGAAAGACAGAGGAAATGGAATGAGGCGGTGTGCGGTAAGACAGCCGGAGTACTGTATGCAAATAATACACTTTTTTGGACATAAAATGAATAATTCCAAGTTTTTTGTTAGGTAATTAACAAGAAAATACTGAAGAGCTGAATTAAATATCTCAGCTCATAATATTTTACATATTATCAAATATTCAACAAATGCTTTTTGTGCTAAAAAGTAACATCCCATTAGAATAAAGAATAATATAGGGATTGCACTGAAAAAAATTCTAAGTTTCCAATATTTGCAGGCGTTGTATAATATATTTAATTTATTTAAAATTTAACACTTCTTGGTTAATATAATATTTATACTGCACTTTGTGATAAAAAGTTCTTAGAATCTCTGTTGGAATCTTATTTTGAACCGAAGAGAACAGTGGAGTAGAAATCATTTCCATATCTTCTTACTGCTGATATTCATTATATATATGTGTAATGAATTGAAAAACGTTGATTTTAATATGTTAGTGCTGATAAACGTAAGTATTAATATTAATATTAGGCATTGATTAATAATAAGAATTTGTACTTCGAAATACAAAATTCCAAAATGAGTTAATCTAAATATTTTGGACCCTAAAATAGAGATAAAAGAAAACATGAAAAAAAAATTAAAATATTCTTAGACAACTGTAAATTATATATACCAATCAAACTGCCTATGTAGCCCAGTGTACCTACGTGTTGCAACGCAATGGACTTTTGAAAAAAGAAAAAACTGAAAATAAAAATTAAATGCTTGTGCACTTTAATGGAGATTGCCGTGCAAATTGAGTGCCAACGGCAGCTGCAATCTAGGTGACAAAGTAATTAATTTCAAATAAATCACTGCAACTAGACATAGTTAGAGCCCACACACACACATGCATACCACATACTCCCAAATAGTTGGCAAACGTTGCGTAAAATTTGCGAAAATTGTTTTCTCTGTGAGCAAATGTTTGGCAATGCAAATATTTTGTTATTATTCAATTTGGCGCAAATTACATTCCGGGGCTAACTGAAAGTTAATTCCAATTAAAATATTGATATTTGTTTAGCATTAATTGCCACTAACAGACAAACGTTAAAGCCGTTTTATATATGCCATTACAAACAAATCAAGCGTAAAATACAACACAACACTTTTGGCTCATATTTATGGCCGATGCGGCAAATAATTCACGCTTGATTTATGCGTATGCGGCAAATAAACAATTTAACTAAATTTGTTGGCTCGCTCACCCGTTATGATCCACAATTCGCGTAAACAATCCTCGCGGCTCTTGGCAATGGCCGCCGATTTGCTCAGATCCTGTGGTGCCTCTAGCAGAGGAAAAATGAGTGCACCCAACACCGAATACCCTGTAACCAGTAAAACAAGACCGGGAGTAGAGAGCAGCAGCTTTAGCAGCTGACCCAAGCAGCGTTCGGAGGCGTGACGTTTGACCAGACCATTGGACTTCACGCCAGCCTCTTGACTGAGCTGCTCGTCGAGCTCCTGCTGCTCCTGCTCCAGTTCCTGTTGCTCGTCATCATTGTCGTCGCTCTGATTGCTCTTAAACGCCTGCTCAACGTCACACATGATCGCAATTTGTTTGGCATTTGCAATTGTTGCTGCAACATTTAGTTGTCCCCGACTCCTTACTGTTGTTGCAGCTATAGTTGTTGCTGTTGGCTGTCAGTTTTATTGGGCGTGCACTTCCGTTTCCGCCTCAACTTATGATTCATGCTGTGCTGCTGCTTGTCAGCCATCCGTTTACTAATTACAACAACGTTTTCTCATCATTCCTTTGTTTTCCCTCTAAGTCTCTTTCGCTTTTCGCCCCTCCGCCTGCTGCCTGCTTGCCCCTTTAGCGTATTATGTTTTAAGCTGTTGTTGACTTGTTTCCAGTTGTTGTTGTTGCAGTTGCTTCTGTTGCTGACATCGCATTTTGCATTGTTCCTGGTCTGTGCTCTTCAATCCGTGCACTTGGTTTGTACTTTTAAAGTTGTTGTCCCAGTTTATTACCCCAGCTTTGCGTGCCACGCCCAGCCGTCTGTCGCCTGCAATTGAAAACAAATGTTGTATTGTAATAGTTCTTGCTGCTGTTGCTACACTGCTGTTGCTGTTGCTGTTGCTGTTGCAGTTGCTGAAGTGCACTTGGGCACAGGTTAAGCACACCCAACGGGGCTGACAAAGTGAAAATGTACTAAATTTGACACTTAGCTTAATCTAATTAACAACTCTTAACGCCACTATATTATGGGCCAGCCAAGAAGCTTAACTTGCAAGTAGACTTCAATTAAAAGTTTTCTGAGTATATTAAGATATATTTAAATAAGCTTAGCTAAGAAACATTTGTAATTTTATTTGAAGCAAAGTCAGAATAGAATGAAGTATTTAATTTGGTACAAAATCAAATTAAGCTTCTGGCATGTTGAATCGGCATGTGAAGCCAGAGTGGCCCAATCGCATCAAGACGAGAATATAAATATTTTTCTTTCGAATCACAGCATAACTCAGTCTTTCTTCTTTTCATTCAGGTTAAGGCACTTTATTATTACTTTATTTCCATAAACTATGATTTTCCATAGGACAAGTTTCACCTTTGGCTTATAACGAAGCCAAAATTAATTCTAAGACACTCTTCACATGTAAAACAGTATAGCATAGGCACAGCTTATCTCCAACTGAACTGATTTGTAAACAATTACAACCACCTGCTTTTGCTTGGCTCAACATAAAATTTAATCTTAAATAAACAAAGTTAAACTAAGAGAAGAGCTTGCCATTAGCATTAGTCTTCAATCAATCTCAATTAACTTAATCTGTGTGCAGTTGATTAACTTCTTCTTCTATATTTCACGTTTTTTTATGGTAACTATAGAATTTCTATAGAAATTCATCATATTTCAAATAATCTTTATGGCCTTGACTAAACTCATCCGCTTCTATAGTTTCCAATCAAGATGAGCTCTTATTGTCATGCTGTTCACACTCTTAAAAGCATATAATCTGTACATTTTATGTATATGTTATTTGGCTCATTTAGTTGGGGTCATTAAGATTACAACGCGTTTAGAACGGGGCAGACATTATCGATAAAGCCCATTAAAGAGTGGCATAAAAACGATAACAATGCCAGCTCATGTAATACAAATTGAAGTGAAATAACAAACGCAAAAGGCGATGACAGTGTCACACCAACACAAACACCAACACACACACACACACACACACATACACCTACAAGCACAACAAAGCACACTAATCATTATTGACGCTGCGGCTCGTCTAATAATGCGCTTAGAGTGCTTCGATGGAATCAATTAAAGCTAAAGAGAAATTGTACAAGAGGGAATTCCTCCCATGAAATGCTACAGAGGAAGCCACATCCACACACACTCACTCACACAGATGAAGTTGCGATAAGTAAGTTCTGTCTACATTTATTGATGTGTGACGTTTGCATCATCGATGACCCTTCTAGACCTTAACTCGACGTGATTTATATAGTTCGTCGAAAAGCAGCTGGCTTAAGTAATTTTTGTTAATTGAAATAGGCTAAAATGGGCTGGCGTCTGCTTGGGTTCAAACCACTTGCCTCTTTAACAAAAGCCAATTTTTTCTTCTTCACATTTGCTTTCTCGGCCTTTTTTATGAGCAAGCGCGCATAATTAAGTTTGTGGCCAACGTGGCGTATGCGCAGTGGACTTGGGGTCTGGCTGGGAGGGCTAATGCAAAATTAATGTCAATCGCTTTTTGGCCAACGTCAGCATTGGCATAGCAGTGCCCCCACTTTTAATTGTAGCTCAGCTAACATTTGAACCTCTGCTCGAGCACGCATCGAGCAAACTAAATAGGAAGAACCCTTAAGGCGCCAACGAAAAGGCAAAACGTCTAGCGGAAGTTATCCCTTTTAGTCAGATTGAAATCAGCTTAGCTCCGGCTCTTAATTGAAATGTTTGCATTTCACTTTAATTAAAGTGTTTTTCGCCCCGCACCCAAAAAAAAAAAAAAACACACAAAAAAGAAAGCAGAAAACCTTTTTAGCACGCGCAGGACACACCAGCGGGAGGGGTACAGAGTAGAAGGAGAAGAAGGGGTTTCTTTGATTTCAATGGCATTTTTCTTACATTTTTCATTTCACTGCGCGCTGTTTTTCGCACGTCATTTTATGAAGTTTGCTGTTAAAGTTTTGTAGTAGTTAAATGAAAACAACTTGGTTGGCTCTTTCGCCAGGGCCCTTCATTCATAGCCTCAGCACACTGCGCGTCTTTTAATTCATTTCCTTTGTGCGTGCTCTTTTCTTGTGCGCGGCGTCTGCCTTATTATGCAATAATTATTATTATTATTTATAAATGCAATGACAACAAACGCAGTTTAATTACAATATTCTTCTGCTCGCTCATTTTCTTTTCTCTACCAACTCATCAAATGCAGCTGCAGCAGCCCAAGCCACCAGCAGCAGGATCCAGTAAACGACGTCCGAAGTGACGCTAATGGCGCTAGCCTCATTTCTCGCCAGTTCTGGAGCTGTTTTTAAATCCAATTTTCCTTCATAATTTTATAACACGCCAGAGCAGTAAGTCCTGGGCCCCATTGGGCGCATCCGCCCGCTGACCCCTCGCCTCGTTGTTCTCGTCATCATGGTCGTTGCCTATTCCCAATTTAATTGCATCGCTGACATTTAGCACCAGCACAGGAAGCAAACAAACAAAAAAACAAACTAGCAGCGAGAAGAGCCAGCTTAAATAGGATTTTGGTTTTTTGGTCCCATGGCTCTTTGCCATGTTAAACTCAGTGGCGTCTATGCCAGTCACTTGTTTAATTGAACTTGACTCACGGCATGCCACCCGTGCCATGCCCGCCTTGCAGTCGTGTAGTCGGCAGTCGTGCAGCCGTATCTAAACTATATCACAATACGCGCATTTCCAATTTGTTGGCGCTCGGTGCCAAAGAGCACACCAAATGTCATTCAATTGAAAGGATTTAACTCGCAGTTCAACTGCACTTCGCAGCTTCTCTCTTGCTCTGGGATTCATGCATCCCTTAGCTGGCTGGTTGCTTTTGTTGTTGTTGTTGGTTTTCTTTTTTTTTTTTGTGTGTACTCGACTGCTCTTTGATGTAATTACATTAACGACAACAAAATGAAAGAAAGTAGACGAGCTGTATAAAAGCAACAACAGGCGTGTGGGAGAACAGGAATGTCTGACTGGATATATACCCTGTTCTGAGATGTGAATGAACAAAGACGTCAACGAATCAAAGGAATCGCATAGAAAGACGTTTTGAACTTAAAAAATGAAGAAGGTGTAACGCATAGAAAATGAAAAGCGGTAGGATGATAACCACACTAAGGAAAATAATAATTTAAATGTGTATACATGATCAAAAAGAGTGTGAGAGTATAGTAATGATAGTAGAGATGTATTATCATTGACTGCTTAATATACAATTAGATTAGTGTGAAAGATTTCTGTGGGCTTTATTTAGATTAATATATAATAATAAATCGATATATTTGAATGCTAAATACGATTATTTATTGATGCATCTAGAGAAAATATAATTAATGCTCAGCTAGATTGAAGTTCGATTGGTCAAACACCGAATTTCACAATTTCTAGATAAATGCCTGTGTAAATAAATGAAAGGCAATTAAATGCAAATACCTTAAAAGTTAAATGAATTGTAAAATTTTATGTGGCAGACAATCGGAGACCGAGCTAAAAACTTATTTAGGTAGATTTAGAAAGCGGACAAGCAAACGACAGACTAATAAGCAGCATTTATTTGTACATCTCTCACCTACACACGGGCTGAGGGCATAATTTTGTGCAGTCAAGTGCCTATAATGAAAATTAAATGCGAAAAGGCGAGCAATGGCCAGCAAGGATTCGCCAGGATATACGCCAGCGGGCAGAAGAAGGCAGCGAAGCGTGTACGGAACTTTTTACACATTAGCCGGGTGAAGGCGAGTGCAGAGGTGTAATACAGATACGAACAACAAGGGAAGCTAAAACAATACCTAATAACTATGCAATTGAGCGCAGCGGAAGGAAAACACTTGAGAGCCCAGCTCGGCCATAATTTATAATAAAAAGGACGCAAAGGGAGCAGAGTAAGCGACGAAAGGATAGCACAGGATAATGACCATGTTAATGCAATACAAAAGTGCACTGAAAGGAAATGAGCAAGATAAGTAACGAGCCCCCAAAAAGCTGACCAAAAATTTCACCATTTTAGCCCCACAAACTTTGTGGCGCAAAACAAACGATGCCCGGTCTCAGGCCATGCTCATTAAACGCGCTCAACTTGACTGCAACAGACTTAATTATGTATCCAAGTCTTGGCTGGTAAGCTAGACAAGAAAAAAGTATTCAGATAACAACTATTTGGAGATAAAGCAAACAAATAAAATACTCTTCCTGAAAAGTAACATAGACAAAATAATAAAATCTTTTCACTTTTTTAATTAATGTTTTTTTTTTTGTTAATACTCCTGAATATAGAGTTTTGCAGATATTAAAAGTTACTACTAAATCGATATCATATAATAGCAGCTCATCTAATCTATAACTTAGTCAGAATACCCTAAAGCATTAGAGTATCAGCAACATAATCAGCGCCAAAACTTACAAGACATCGCTTTACCGAAGCTGATTAGTTTTTGGAGTGCCTCAAGTGCAAGTCAAGCACTCGCTCAGTCAGTCGGTCGAGCATTAGGCAGTCAGTCAGTCAGTTTGTCAGTTGGCCGCTGTTGGTCGAGCGTGTAAACTTTGCCAAACAGCCGGCAGACAACACCCACAACAACAACAGCAAACAGCGAGAGCATTTCGTAGCCATTTTCTTTCCAACAAAAACTCATTAAAAATAGCGCAAATGCAGCTACC